AAACTCAGGATAAAAAGTTTTTCGTGTACTAGCATTAGCAACAACGTATTTTGTCACAATACCAAACACTGAACATATGAAGAAGAAAAATAGACACGATGATATTATTCTGATCGCCGAGTGAGAGACGCGTCTTATTTCAGGGTGGTCGCCAGTCGGTCATCAAAGTCTTGTCAGTTTGACCAGAGAAAAAAAAGTTTTGTCCTTTTACAATTTTTGTTTTTTCTTGTTTCCACGTTTATCATATAATAATGTTCACTGGATGGAACCTATCAAGCCGTAAGGATTATAGTATATTTTGTATACTTCAGCAGCTTAGTTTCTGATTAATTACTTAAGAGGTATACTGCGTATGTTATGTTACAATGGATTATACATTATATATATACCTGCACTCAATCTTTATAATTATAGTTCTATTATTATTTTAGTTTATCGGTAATTTTTGCTGCTAATGTACCAAGGTTTTCTTTCAACGGGAATATTACTTTCTGCTTGAAAAAATCAATGGATATCTATATATATATATATATATATATATTGAATATAATGTAATTAGATAATATGTATATAATTATGAAAATATGAACCGTAGAAGCTAACTAAGTAATATCTGTCCAATGACTAATCACTAATGACGATTTGACGACAGTAACATAAAAAGTTGACAAATAAAATGAACAGAAAAATATAGGATCATTTGGTTTGTCTATTGAAAGATAAGATGATTTGGTTTCTTATATGCCTTATAGTATATCTAGATCTTGACAGTTGAAATGTTTATCACAAAGAAGAAGATTCTATTTTTGTTTTTGTTGTCGTTCTTTATTCAAAGTACGGAAATATAGAACATAAATAAACATGGTTACATTTTTTTCTTACATTCTTCAGTCATCATATTATTAATTTTAGTCATCACATTTATTGTACAATAATGTAATTAACGTCTGCGAGCTGCGGTTTCTCTCTGAGCGTTGAAGAAGACAGCCGCGACAGGGAGACCAAGATCATACTCAATCGCAAATTTACGAGTATTGAAGTGATCTCTCGAAAGGATATTTGGGAAGATAACGCGTCTTTGCTTCTGCTTGAACAGAACAAACACGAACCTGTGTATCCCGATGCTTGGCCTTGGCAGCTCATAACTCACAACCTCTTTTCCTATTATTTCATAGTTCAAAATTTTATTAGTATATATATACTATATATCCTTTATTATAAATATTTTATATCACAAAACTCATGACGAGAACGTACCAAACGTAGCATCTGTTGTACCGGGGATGTTTGTGACGATCCTGTTGAAACATTTTAATGATAATATTTCTTACTTTTCTGATGGAAGAGATTTTGACCAACTCAAGCCAAGTTTATACAACGTTAATGTAGAGACAAAATAATTTTCGAAAGTTTCATTAGGGTACGGTTATTAATAATAATTCATATGAAATGCATGAATTATGGGAAGATAGATTAAAAGCTAAGTAAAATTAAAAAAAAAAGATATGCATGAATTATGGAATACGGGCCCAAAATGAAACGACAATAAATAACTGGACGTACCAATGCAGGTGTTCTTTTTGAAAGGGGTCACTAGGACCAGGAACATCAGGATCTATCATTACCTGTTTTGCATTTCAGTTGAGTTTACCATCAATACAAAAATTATAAAAACTAAATAGTAGCGTCACATTACTTATAACAACAAGAAAAAGGGGCACAATTTATAAGATCATTGATACGTCCCTCTCTTTTTCTCCAGGGAGTCAGAAAATGGGAAACTAAATTGAATAAAAAGCGATAATTTTTCTATGTTTTGGCAAAAAAAAATATGGACTACACAGCCAGCAAGAAAGCCCAACGATATTGACGATTTATTAATAATGTTAATATATATATATATATATGTATGTATATATACCAAGGTGAAGAAGGATCTGAGATCACCACCATGGATCTCAACCCTAGGCGTAGGAGACAGTGGAAGGAAAAAGCTCATGGCCATTGGAGACTTGCTTCTTGTTGTAACTCACACTCATTTTAATTGTTGGAGTGAAGAAATCAAGAACATCTCCAACCACTCTTCCCACTATCAATGGCTCTATCACTCTACTTCCCATATTCTCCATCTTTTGTTTTGTTTAAGTTTCTTTATCTTTCTAACTGTGGATTCAACTAAGCTTAGGGAAAGAGAGAGATTTGTAGTGGTGTGGGATACCAAAGACGAACAAGACATCTATTTATAGGGTTTTTCCAACTTGGAGAAAGAGAGAGAGAGGATAGGGGCCAAGCTCTGTCGTGTTGTAAGATTTGGGCAAATCTAAAGAATTAATAGACATCTACTCCCCAGTTATATGCTAACTTCATCTTTCTTTCTTTCTTTCTTTTTTGTTTTCACTTCATCCTTCATAGTAGGAATAAAACTAGGGAGAATTAAAGAATAGTTGATTGTTAGGTGATTATCAAATTTAGTTTTTTTAATTGTTTTGAGAAATTATTAGCTTTTATTGAAATTTGATATATTTTTCTTTAGATGGTTCTAACTTCAAGTATCACAAGTACTACACGTGACCATCATATTTGCTGACTGTGGTTTTAGTTATAACTTATAACTACAGGATTGACATCAAATAATCTATATTAATAATAAGGTACTAATAATAGTATCCAATAACTACGTATTTATATATGTACTTTATAGAAAATTACTATTTGGATTGAATATTATGACTTATTGGATTGACTAATATGATCCGATATGATCTAACAATAGAACGAAGCGAGTACAGTATTATAGATTAACTAATTGACTTATTTTACAAATTTCTTGATAACTATCGTAAAAGTAAACATATACTGAAAAAAAAGGTATATAATGTCTAGACGCTTAAATTTAACTAAAATATCCACAGTACATCAATATAACAGAAAAAAAATATATAGCAAAGTACGTATTTGATCCTTTTTCCCAATAATTGTCCCCTTTTTGGCACGAGTTGAGTGAGCATCTACCCTATCTATGTAGTAGAGATTCCATATACACTAGTTTAGTTTTAAATTTCAGTACCTACAGATGGACTTAAAAATGGCTGCAGTTAGCGACTAATTACAGTTAGAAAGACTAAATTCGATTGTTGAGGTGTTTGTTGGTATAGAGATTATTATTTTGTGCGTGTTAAATGTAAAGTAACTGCAGAAAAATATAACACGTCATGAATCTTAACGAGCAGAAGTTCGATGTTTATAAGCAAGTCAATAGGAAAGTTATATGTATCTTAAGTCATACATCATATATGGAATTCAATTAGCAAAGTTTATTGCATATTTCTATATAAATTTAGAACATTCATTCTTGTTTATTGGTTTTCCTGTAAAAAGTAAGGTAATAAATAATCCAAAAAAATAGAAACATCGAAACTTGTTCGTCAGGAAACAAAATTGTAGCAGTTAAGATTGAATGATGAAGGATGATAACAACGTATAAAAATATATCGTCAATCGAAGCATAAATCTTTCACATGTGAAAGCATGGCGAAAAAATAAACCGATTCAACGAACAGACCGGATATCACTATCTATTTTTGTTGTTAGTATTTTGTTAGAGCGTGTTCTTCACTCATCGGTCTATGATTTCAAAAACAATTTCACTAAAACATTTGACTGGCCAAGATTAAGAAATTTTTATATTAACATTCTCATCGTACTTGATTCTATTACAACTACGGATAAAATTATTGCCCAAAGGTCATTTCACTGTCGTAAGATGGGATTTGTTTTGTCCTTTTGCATTAAGAATAAACCTAAGTAAAAGAAACAAATTAGAATGCCATTAATCATATATAGATCGTACAAAGGCATATAATAAAGTGATGAACCAAATAATTTGAGGTTAAAGAAAAATATGGATCGCAGATTTAGGACTCCTCACTCGTGGAACGACAAGGCATTGATTCCTGAAAAGAAACATCGATGAAAAAAAAAACTTATTTATCGAAATTAGTAAATCCAAGAGTGTACGTGAAGAAACGATATACTATTATCAAATTTGAGATTGTAATGTATGATGATTCTAAAACCATCCAAAAAATCGTTCGAAGGCATATGTTAATCAGTTGAGCAAAAAAAGACATACATTAATCGTACCGTAGAATATCAAATCTTATGGAATCCACAAAATCTGTAGAATAGTATTAAAAACAGAAGGCCTTAATTGAAATTAGGACGACTTTTTTTTAGTGGAGATCTAAGTTATAATTTATATATTTTCTTATGAAAGCTTGATTGATAATTTACTCAGATTGGGTGCTTGATCAAAGAATAAATGACTTAAAAGCTTGGTTAGATAATCACTTGAATCAGAAGTTCCAAAAGAAACATCAATAAGACAAGTGGCCAACGTATATATCAATTAGTTTAGGACGCTTAATCTAAAAGATGTACAGCAACAGAATCGCAAAACCACCAACTCAACCCTTCAGGCTCTTGCTATTAACTCCGGCAAGAGTTTTTGTCGTCGCATCTTCGGCGGTCATTTGGAAACGAGCAATAAAAGACCTTTTTGGAAATCTCACATGTAAGATTAGGAGCCGCAAAATGAAATACACAAAGCGTGGGCCACTTCAGTGACATGTATAGGATGTTATGGTACCCTCGGATCAAGTTATGATCTGTTTTGGTTCGAAATCTACTTTGAAGAAGATATTTGAAACGTTGGAGAACTTTTTTTTGTTACGGATTATATCTAAGGCTAGTAACTTTCCATAGAGGTTTTGGTTGACGCATGAACTTTAGTTGTGTGTGTATTCCAGAGATATTTTGGAGGGTCAAGACTCGGTTAAGCAGGCTTGGTTTCAATTGAGAAGACCGAACCAGAATTTGGGTTCATGGCATCACAGGACAATTGCTTTTTCAGGCTACGAACATAACCACAAACTAAAGTAATGGTTTTTCCTTGGTTGGTTTGAAGATGTGATTGTTGTGGTTTAGGTTGCACGAGATTGAGATAATATGGAGCAAATTCTTGATGATATATAGGGTTTCAGACAAACGGGTAACAGAGACTTTGAATACCAAAAAAACCAGAACAGATATCAATCCAGCAACTGTCTTAAACGCAACAAACAACATCATATCACTAATCCAAGTCGAGAGGAATCAAAAGAGAGATAACCAAAGACATTGGAAGAAGTAGAGGCGCATCAACGAAGTCTCCTAGCTTCTCTCTCGGACTCGAGCAAAGTGAGGATATCTCCTTCTCTCACTGGTCCTTTGACATTGCGCATGATGAAACGATCAGAGTCTGTGAACTTGACTCGAACCTGAGTCACCTGACCCCTTGATCCGGTACGACCCATCACTTTGACCACCACGGCGTGCTTGATCTGAGAATCCATCCTGATTAACATCAAAGACCAATTTACAATCACAATTCACATAACATTCTCAATTGAAATGCATACAAGACCAGACCAGCAGTAATCAGCAGTATGTTTTTTCTTGTTAAAAGCTATCGACTTTAAAAGAGATAGCACATCAGAAACAAGTTAGGCTATCGATTGAAGACCTAAATCAGAGAAGATGTTAATCAATACACATTTCAGTTGCTAAGAAGCCTTTAGGATATTGACAATTAGGGATCGAAACAAAGCAAATTCTAAGCAGAAGCGAAACTAAGGATTCAATCATTCAACAAACAGAGCAGAATCCTAATCACATATTCGAAAGAAGACGATTTAGCCGAAAAAGATTATATTAGAGATAGCAATCGATCAAGGAACCTGGAGACGACGGCTAACGGAGAACGATGCGACGATAAAGCTTTTGCGGCGATAAAGTGAGAGGCAAATCGAAAACGCGAGGAAGAGGGATTTCTTGGGCTTTTATATGGCTTCTTAAGTTAGGTTATTCGGTCACGGGAGCTAATCCACTCGGTTTACCATAACCGAATCGGTTCATTAGTCTTATTTTTTAATTTCCCAAATCGGTTCATTAATTGTAACCGGTTCTTTTGATCGAACGCATCCATGCTTCTAGTTTTTCCTTTTTCCTTTTTTTTTCTCAACAACTCCATGCTTCTAGTTTCTGGATTGTTTACTGGGAAAAAAAGAAAAGGAAATTCAAAAATTACCTTTTTCCAAATTCATTAAGGTTTAGGATAAAAAAGGAAATAAAAGTTGCGAGTCTTTATAGGAATAATAAACAATTTTCTTCTATAAATATAAGGGGACATAGTTTTTGATTCACATAACTTTTTTTCCATAGACAGACTTTGACATTATCATTATCATACTCAAAAAACGACAATGTCTAGTGTTGCAGAGATGTTCGAAAGAATCGACAAGAACAAAGATGGGAAAATATCATGGGACGAATTCGCCGAGGGGATTCGTGTTTTCTCTCCTTCAACAACGTCGGAAGAAATCGATAAGATGTTCAGAGAGCTTGACACCGACGGTGACGGTCACATCGACGTCAACGAATTTGCTAAGTGCATGATTAGCGGCAAAGAAGACGACGAAGAAGCTGTTATGAAAACTACTTTTGATTTGTACGATATTGATGGTGACGGGAAGATTTCAGCCAATGAGATTCACGTGGTGTTGAAGCGTCTTGGAGAGAATATATCAATGGAAGAGTGTGTCAAGATGGTTCGAGCCGTTGATGCAGACGGCGATGGTTTTGTGAGCTTTGAAGAGTTTAAGACTATGATGAATTCTAACAACAAGAAAGCTTTATGATTTTACTCAGTTTTTTTTATAGCTTACTCGTTTTTATTTTTGTTTTGCTTTCTGTTTCTGAATTCTGTTCAAACTTTTAATTATCAGTCGGTGATTAATTTTATGGTGAAGGCGATTATTTGATAACTACATATGAAACCAACTTTTAGGATGAATATTTTGTTTGGATTTGTGTCAATCAGGTTCTTAAATATATGATTTTTGTTTCGATTCAAATTAAGATTGACTCACTTTAAAAGGAAACCAAACCAAACGAAATTTTGATTTAGGTTTAGGGTTCAAAACTACTGACGCGACGACTAATCGACTATGCAACAATTAAATTTAAAACCTTTTTTTTTTCTTGGCATCATTAGCCAGTTACGTATAACTTACGTTTATATATATGTTTGAAAATCTAGACTGTTCTATATTGAAGTTTTACCTCGATGTCCATACACAAAATCAGGTTGCTATAGAACATTTATTTCTTATTGGAATTAAAAGATCAAGTGCTGCTTATTACAATATACCAACATATAGAAACTACTGACATGCAATATTATAGAAAAAAAAACTTTTAAAAAGAAAAAACACAAAAACCAAAACAACAGCACAAACTCATCTCTCATACTCTCTCCTGCCTTCCATCTTCTTTTCTTCGTCCTTCTTCTTTCAGAGCCTCGAGACATTGATGGGGTGGTGAGCTACAATGTGATTATAAACAGCAAGTGTAAGAAAATCATCAAGCTCAGTTGCTGTACACTGCTTTGTAAACATCTTGGAAGCTTCCTTATACATTCCTCTCTTAAACTTGTCTTTCCCAATCTTAGGCCCATTACAATCTAGAATAAGTCATGATTTTATATACTAAATTGCATTAGGGTTTTTAATTGAAACAATTATGCAAGATTTTCTCTTTTATGTTACTTGGGTTGTTTTTTTTTATGCGTCGTTATCTATATAATAACCCCTAAAAATAAAAGATATATAATAGATTTTCTAAGTTGTTATCTCTATAGTAACATGTATGTTAATTATTTTTTATTATGTTTTGATTGATTTGATTATATATATCATATATTTTACTTTTTAGCTTTATTTATTTACTAAGGTAAATCAATATAACTATGTAAGTAAATTTAGCTAATTTATATATTTTTCCTCGTCTATGATGAAATCAAATCAGATTAATATAAACGCTTATATGTATGATGAGGTTTTCGATATTATATTCTATTTTATCATTAACAAATTAATATCGAATTCTCTTTTCAAAACAAGAGAATATGTAATTACTACTGTTTTTACTTTTTTTTGGGTGAAAACAAAGAAAATGAGTTGAACAAACCTCCCAAATTACATCGGGAAAACATAATCACAAAATACAAAGAAAAACATAAAAACAAATAATTTTATCTCTAAATGCCATTGTAGAACTCAACCACCAGCGACGTAAGCAATCCAATTGCAAAACTAACAATATAAAAGAAACAAACACGATCACAACCAAACAAAGAAAAACTAACAATATACAGCGCAAAAAAAAAACAACTAAATGAAGTAAGTTCAAAAAAGTAAGAAGCAATAAGCAACGAAAGTAAGCGCAAAAAGGAAGAAGAAGAGTGAAACCTTATGCGTTAATACTAGGAAAAAAGTAGGAGATTGTTGTCAATCTATGTGGTATATATAGGCTAATGTAAAACCTAATTCAGTTTCAGATAACGTCATTTTTAGATTTTTTTTTAATAATACAATTTATATTTTAATCGTGATTTTAGATTTTGGATTTAAATTTTCTTTGTCTTTTTTTAAAAAAGTTTAATCAAATTTAAGAAAAGGTAAAGAGTAATTAGCCACCCTAAAATTGAATGAGAGAGTTTTAAATGAAATTTTTACTTCGCTTATAATATATATAATATAATATATGATTTTAGATTTTGGATTTAAATTTTCTTTGTTTTTTTTCTAAAAAATTTAATCAAATTTAAAAAGGAGTAAAGAGTAACCTTAAATTGAACGAGAGAGTTTTAAACGAAATTTTTATTTCGCTTATAATATATATGATTTTATTTTATAATTATTTAAACAGGAAGTTGAAATAACCTCATATAACTCAGGGAGAAAAAAAACTAATGCTTTAGCTCGTTGATGATGATGATATCTCTTCACTTTTCCACTCCGTCACTATCTTTTCTCACATCTGATTCCAATTCCAGATTTTGCAAGAACCCTAATGATCCAATTCTTGTTACTTTCCCTCAAAAATCCCAATTTGTTTCTTGCCGTCGTTTCAATTTCAATTCCCAAGGAACAAATCTAAACCGTAAAACCTACCGGCGGAGTCTGAGTTGCTATGGGGTTAAAGATTCAGGTGAGAAAACGAGCTCTGCAACGCCGTTAGATTCCGGTGGCGGTAACGGCGGAGGAGGAGACGGAGGAGATAACGGTGATGACGACAGTGAAGTGGAGGGTAAAGACAGGCTGTTGCCGGAATGGCTGGATTTCACATCAGACGATGCAAAGACTGTGTTCTTGGCTATAACTGTATCGTTAGCATTTCGATATTTTATTGCAGAACCAAGATACATTCCTTCCTTGTCTATGTATCCTACTTTTGATGTCGGAGACAGATTGGTTGCAGAGAAGGTACTGTTCTTTAATTCCAATTTTCACCTAATTGTAGATTTAGCTTTCTTAGTGAAAGACCAATTTGGAACATTTTGAGCTATAGTTATGTGATTAGGAATCTAAAGAATGCTGTTTAAGGTTTCTCACTTGTTGGTTTTGTGTTTTGATTACATTGTTCACAAGCTTTTACACAATTTCACCTAATTTTATATTAGTTTTCTTAGCGAACACCAAATTTTGGAACTTTTGAGCTATAGTTAAGGGATCAGGATTCTATAGAATGCTGTTTAAGGTTTCTCACTTGTTGGTCTCACTTGTTGCTTTTGTGTTCTGAATTCTGATTACATTTTTCACAAGATTTTACATCTTAAGAGTTATGAGGTTTAAAGCTTTGGTGATTGTTACTAAGATTTGGGGATGTTTGTGTTTCAGGTGAGTTATTATTTCAGGAAGCCTTGTGCAAACGATATTGTAATCTTCAAAAGTCCACCGGTTCTTCAGGAAGTTGGGTACACAGATTCGGATGTATTCATTAAACGGATCGTTGCAAAAGAAGGCGACCTTGTGGAGGTACTATGATCAATCATGTTTAGACTCTATAGTGAAGAGAGTTATAATAGTGAAGCTGATTGGGTTTGGGGCAAATGTGTAGGTTCATGAAGGGAAACTAATGGTTAACGGTGTTGTTCGAAATGAAAAATTCATCTTAGAGCCTCCTGGTTATGAAATGACACCAGTTGTAAGTAATTATCCTCGCTTTTCAAACCAAATGTTAAAAACAAAACTGATCCTCTGTTTTGTTCTTCTTTGCTGATTTTGGCTTACTTCAACGTTGTAGCGAGTACCGGAAAACTCGGTCTTTGTGATGGGTGACAACCGGAATAACAGTTATGATTCTCACGTGTGGTGAGAGGCCTATGGTTGATCTGGTTTTTAGATATCTATCATGAAATGTAGCTTCTTGTTTTGGATTGTTACTTATTCTTGAAAACTTGTGTCTGTCTTCAGGGGTCCTCTGCCTTTGAAGAACATTATAGGACGGTCAGTTTTTCGGTATTGGCCACCAAACAGAGTAAGCGGGACAGTGCTAGAAGGTGGCTGTGCTGTGGATAAGCAGTAGAGCATATTGGAATGTTTTTGATTCGGCTTTTTTGTTTTTTAAACGAAACGAAACTATGTAGTACATTTTTTATGAAGAAATGAAGAAAATGATTGCACATTTGAATTGGATTGCAGATAGAGAAAAAAAGAAACAAACAAAATGTGTTTACTTGGTAGTGAGTTTACAGGTCTTATGAGTAAATTTTATTGGTCTTGAGCTCTTGGAGGAAGAGATGAAGAAAGAGCAGGAGATGTGATTCAAGTGTTTCGACTTGACAAGCTTCCCCAAAAGATTCCCTTGTGATCGGATCTCAAACTCCAACTTCACTGGAACTCTTCCTTTCTTGTCTGAAGCCGCTAAGTTAGGTCCTGCTCCATATAGAGGAACCTCTACGCCTAGGAGCTTGACAATGGCTAAGTGCTTGCTCTTTCTTGGCTGGTAATAACTTTTAAGCTTCACCAACCAAAATGTAAAGATCAGATTACTATCAATACTATGACATAGGAGGAGGAATGAGTGAGATCAGAAACTAAGAGTACCTGACCAGTGGCGAGGGTGAGAGCAGAGAAGGTGAGACTGAAGGTAGAAGAAGAGACATGGATGCCAAAGTAAGGAGCAGGACTGTCTATTGTCACTTTCACTGAGCCGTTAAAGCTCAAAATCTTGGTGGCAACTCCTGTTCTGTCTATTCCTTCTCCGTAATAAAAGCTATGAAGGTCGAACCTCTTAACGGAGACGATAGGAGAGAAAGGATGAGAAGCTCCCCACAAAACAGAGCAGAAAACAGAGAACACAACCACAGTTCCTAAGATTACCAAAACCGCTCTGCATTGTCCAACCGATAATCCTCTGTTATCTTCATAAACTTCCTCTTCATCAATCGTATAAGGCCTCTCTAGCCAATACATGTCTCTTCTCCGGGAGCTTCCTTTCCACCGGAATCCAGTCCCATTGGAGGTGCGGCTTGAAGAGGAGAGACGTGACTCGGTGAGGATGGTGTAGTTTGGGGTGTGAATCTGAATCAGTGAAGCAGCGGAAGAGGATTTATCACCATCGTATACTTGGGACACGCTTGAAGGGCTCTCAACGTAGTAAGCTTGTTTTGGTGATGAAATTGATAGGTCCAGGCTTGTTCTTTCGGATTCCGACGTTGCATCCATCATCTTTTTTTTTTTCTTACTGGTTTTGCTCACAAAAATTGTTATTGTTATTTGTTTTTAGTAGTGAAGAATGTTTTGTTATTTGTTTTTAGTAGTGAAGAATGAAGATGCATAGTTATTAGAAGTAAGAAAAGTTCTTCCAATTTTTTCTCCTTGATCTACTCACTCGGTTTTCTCATTTTCATTTGTATTCTCTAAAATAATTAATTCCAGTTCTATTATTAGATCGATAGGACCAAAAAATGTAACTGGACATTCCGTTTTACAAGTTGATAAACCCATAAAAATAAATCTAGCGAAAACATATAAAAGTTAGGTAACAAATTGTGAAACTTGAGAAAGATCGAAAAACCTGAGAGAGAAAATTCAAGATTCATAACATTTTAAGTCATCTAGAAACAATAGAAATAACATATGGATCTTAATAATGTTTTATTAGGTGATTACGTGCACCAAGTGCGGAGTAAATATTAACCATAATTCTTTTATTCAAATATACAAATATAATATATATAAATACAACTATAAAAATATTAGCTGATGATATTTAAAATTGCAAATATATATATATATATGTTGATTATACAATTGTAAATAATGATTAAAAATATCTTTATTTTGTAATACAATTACATAAATGCTAGATAAATAGTGGTTTTATAATTAACTAGATTTTGCATCCACGCTACGCGTGGGTAGTTTGTTGATAAAATTTATATGCAATCAATTATATTTATTAAGATATAATTTTATATATTAGTATTTTAATAATATATTAAAAATATTATGGTGTTAATCTAATAAGTTTTATGTAAATTGTGAAGTTTTAACAGTTTTGTTTTAAATCTATATACAATATGTCATATTTCAAAAACGTATTATTTTGTCAAACACTTTTAAGTTAATATACCCAAACCAATTAATTTTTTTTTACAAATTAATCAAATGCTACATTTTAAACATATTATTGACATGATGATCAATTATTATACATTCACTTTCATAAATCAAGAAGATAATTTTTTTAATCATTTTTCACTTTTATTCCAATTATAGATGTGTTTTTAAACAATTAAATTTAAAATTTAATTTTTTTTCTTCTTTGTTTAACCAATAAAAATTTTTATTTTGATATATTAATTTAAAAAAAAACTAATAAATAAAATGTTTGTTTTGAGATTAATAACAAACTTTAAAATTGAAATCAAAACAATAGTTGAATTAATATGAAATGAATAAAATTACACAAACTTTATGAATTAAATATATTTATGTCAATTGGTTGTGTAAACTTCTAAATAATTTTTCAATAATTATACGTCATCTTTTCTAATAAGAATGAAATTTTGTTTTTCATTATGTTTATTATAATTATTGTTATGTCTGTTTTTCATTGAATATATCATATTTATTTAATTTAATAATTTTTTATGATTATATTCAGTTTCATCATATCATTCTCACTTTTTCTAATTATAATTAAGTAGGCAAAACTGGTACATTTTAATACATACAAATTTAGAAAAATGAAATAACTAATTGAATAACTCAAAACTAACAATTGTTACATTAATCTATTGCAATTCCAAGTCGAATATACAAAATATAATTTTTTGATCATTTTTGCATAATATATTACATGAGATTATGTGGAAATATATTTTGCATATATTAAAAATTTTAAATAATTATTATTATTTGAAATTCTTGGTGAAAAACCTTATAATCAAGTAACCTAAGCTTGTATAAGTAGCATGTATTTTTAATAGATAAAAAAATTAAATTTGTAAGTTAGAAGAAATTTTACTATCATGTTGTTTTTTCTGTTAATAGAGATTTCTTTATTTTTAATTTATTTTCCTAATTATAATATTAGAATTATAAAACTTTTTTAATTTACAATTTTGATATATATAAATAAAATTGAATTTTTAAATACTGATAAGGATGCTTTGATAATAATGTATATTTAACTGTTATTAATAATAAAATAATTTTAATTAACAATTTTTCTATATTGTTTTGTATTAACAATGTAATTTTATAATTTAGAAACTTTTTAATTTTAGTTATTAATGTGTATTAATAAAATTGATCTTTTAAATCTAATGTGGGTATTCTAAAGGCATATAGCTTCAACTTTTATTTTTTTATTATATATATAATTTTTTTGTTAATGATATAATTTTAAAATTGGGAAATTCTTTAATTTTAAAAATTGATGTTGATAAATAAAATTAAACTTTTAAATCATATGTGGGTATTTTTAGCGGCATATAACTTTAACTTTTATTAATAATAGATTTATAAATCAAAGGTGAAAGATCCCACACGATGCCCATTGCGGCAAATGATTTTAGTCTCTCCTCCTTGTTTTGAGGCTTACCGAATGTATTCTAATGCTGCTTTAGATGTCATGTTATTCTTATTCATGTTTTGTGGTTCAGGTTGGGTTGTTAAAACCCCATCAGATGTCATGTTATTTCAAAAATCTTCTTTGGGTACTTCAGTCTCTTTTGTTTAATGAAGAAACTTTTTTTCTATTTTCAGTGCTTCGTTTTTCAAAAGTGTCGCATATCAGTCACTTGACATGTTTCTCGGATTATTTGAAATTTATCATTTTTTTTCAAATTCGGTGGCAAAATTTGGAGATTTTACACTCTCTTTTTAATGACTCATTCTTAAATGAAATCTGACTCTATTTTTTTGTTTCTTTTTTAATTTGAAATGGTTGAACATATAGAAAAAAACTTAAAAATTATTATAGTTATGTGACAAAATTTTGGATGCTACTGTAAGAGCCTCTAAATATTGTGTATATATATCTAATTTGAATTTAAAATTTCTTATGTTAATATTATTTAATTTAGTTTTTAATTATTTATCTTTAAGAATTTTAAAAACAACAATTAAATTAGAAACTCTTTAATTTTCAATGTTGAGGTGGACCAATAAAAAAATTATACAGAATTCTTTATTCAGAAATAATATTAGAATTTGTAAACTTTCTTAATTTTCTTATTTAACAATAATATTAAAAATTGGAAATTTTCCTTAATTTTGAATGCTGATGTGGACCAATAAAATTAGTCTTTTAAATCCTATGTGGACGCCTTGAAAAGCATTTAGCTTCAACTTTTATTAGTATAAGATTTTAATAATATTTTTTTATATGAATGAAGTTTTACATTAAATATACTAAATTGGATTAATACGTTATATCTAACTGGTCCAATATCAGATTAAGATATTTTGTTTTGATATTAATATTTTTGAATTATTATGTGTATATTAAATTAGATTTTTTTTTTGGGGCTAAACTAGGCCCTTGCAGTAGTGCAACGCATGGGCGACTCGCAAAAACCCAGATAGCAAGCTATCTTAGTGGGCTTTTTCCCTAAAAAAATAGAGTTAATATCGTGTGGACCGATGACCCACATATCAGATATTAAACCGATAAGAACAGATACTACACTTGATCTTAGCCAAAATGCCGAGAAAGGTAATAGATAATATAATTATCTTTTAACAAATTAAAAGTAAAGAAAGATGAAATAAAAAAAATATAATGTTTAGTAACATCAGAAATATTATGTATTAAAATTTTAGAAATATGTTAATAAAAATATAAAAAAAGAGAATATTTTTACAAATTAAATGTTTGAGTATTACATATATAATTGATATAAACTAATCTTTAACTAACTAAATTAATGTTAATGACATATGATGTAATTAATCTAGTGTGTTGAACCTATTTTAAAAAAAAATTCTGAAAAACTCTCTGAAATTGACATCTCAGCATGACAAAGTTGTTAATAACACATCATATAAAGTTTCTTTTTTTAAGTGTTCTTCTTAAATAATATTAGAAGATTTCGTTAATTTTGATTAGGTTTAACGTATTTACGACCAAAAAGTCACATTAAAATTTAAAAAAGACATTTATTTTGAACTACAAAAACTCTTCTCAAAGGACACACATACTGAACCGGATGAGTATTATAATGAATAACAAAAATAAATGAAAACAAAAATTATTCGTTACAAGTCTTGTTGGTGAATTTTACAAACGTGTTGTTGTGTGAGGAGATAAAGAACAAGCAAGAGAGATGTTTCCGATGCCTAGACTTGACTAAGCTTCCGACAATATTAGCGCTTGATCGAATCTCGAACTCCAACTTCACGGGAACTCCTCCATTGTGGTCTGAAGCAGCTAAGTCCGCTCCTGCACCGTAGAGTGGAACATTGGAGCCAACGAGGTTGATCCTAGACGTGTGGTTGCTCTGTTTTGGTTGGTAATAACTCTTTGGCTGAGCAATGGCAAGCGTGAATTGACGAGAGTATATGAGTTTGACAGCAGAGAAACTGACGTGAACGCCAAAGAATGTAGAAGGATTGTGTGTTGTGAAAACCATTGTACATTTGATGTTCATGATCTTTGTCGGAACTCCTGTGTTGTCTAAACCTTCCCAGTAGTAAAAACTATGCACATTCACACCCTATTTAACACATGCATGAAGACAAAAGTTAAACCCGTATAGAGCTTTACAAATATTAAAATTGCGATTTTCTCAATTATTTAAATTACTAAAAGTTATGGATTCATTTGGAGAAACACCTTATAATAAAATGTAAACGCAAAAGGATGAGCGGGTTTGCTCATGATCCGGATGTGGAATTCAGTAAGCTAGGACGAAGTGAATAAAGAGACAAGATGGAGATTTGAAGAAAGTGTCTCATTATCCATATACACCTAAGTGTGCATAAGTCTCCAGGTGAAGGAGAGGGTCCTTTTAGACCTGAGAGGCACGTGAGATCCACGTGATATAACTAATGTTGTAAATGACTAAGTATAAAGTCATCTCTTCTTATCTTCTTCTCGAAGCTCGATTGAAGTTTGTTACAGAGAGAGAGTCTTAGACAGAGAGAGGCACAAGGTTGTAAAGGATAACTCCGATCAAGTTCTAGTGAATTCCGGTGAAACATCCGGCGAGACGTAGGGTGCATTCATTGCCCCGAACTCGTAAAAGATCTGTGTTCTTTACTTTCTGCTTAGATATAGATATATCTCGAAGCTGCGACTAGATTCAGACTTAGAATCCAGAGGAAATCGCACAATATATAACCGGGCCAAGCATGAGCTTCGAGCCTCCCTTATATTTTCTCGAGCATATGAAGCACTTCCACTATCTTTGAATGGCCCATAAATCTCATGAGCATGAGCTGGTCATGAAGACCAAAGACCAATGAGGAGTAAATATAGTAAAATGTGCTTCATATGCTCGAGAAAATTTAGTTAATTTCTATCCCATATATTTCCATGGCCGGACTTAATTAATAGAATGTTCTGATTCTTCTAATGGGAAAGCAAGGCCTACTTCGAAATTAGCTTGCAACAACGTCAACAACACCACGAAAAAAGTCAATAATGGTTGCCCACTAATCATTACTAATACTCAAATTGTTTCACCAAGTATCATTTTAAAATATTTTACACAACTTAAGAAAATTCTTAATTATACAAATATGTAGTACATCAATAATTAGATGATAATGACTTATATTTAAAGATAATGAGTTTCTGGTGAAAGTTTAAATAGGAACTTTGTCTAAAATTCGAAAATGTAAAGCGACACTTTTGATGAATTGAAAACTCAAAAACCAAAAATATTAATGAAAAAGTGGAGTATTTTCGTTAAAAATGTTCTTAACATTTGTAAACGAAAATGAAAAACACATAGGTTTGAAATATATTAGTGAATTCTTGCTAAGTAAGGGATTAAAATACCTTGACGTATACATTTGGAGAAAAGGATTGAGAAGCGGCAAAGAGAACAGAACAGAGAAGAGAAAAGAGTGTCAATGTCGCAACAACTCCCAAAATAAGTCTACAAGTAGCAATTGAGATTCCTCTATTGTCCCCATAAACATCCTCGTACCGTCCATCGCCACTTTCTTCCTTAAGATCACCCGGCGACCATCTTCCGCCGTGATATTTCCTCCGTCCTTTCCACCGGAATCCTCCTCCACCGCCACTAGAGATGCGGCTAGCAAACGACGATGGGTGTGAAGGTGACTCTGTAGGAGTGGTCTGACGAGTCAGTGCCACCGAGGAAGACTTGTCCGAGTCACGTGATGGGCTTTGAACGTAATAAGCTGGACGTTTTGGTGATGATGATAGGTCGAGGCTTGTCATGTCTGAGTCAGATTTTGGGTACATCTTCATTTTTTTTTTTTTTTGTGTGTGTGTGTGTGTTAGTCTATATCAATATTTTGTTCTTATGCTCATAAATATTGTGTTTGTGTATGCATGGGAACAAAATAGGGGAATAGCTACAAGCGTAGGTTTTGGTAACAGAAGAAGCCAATAGTTTTGTGACCATTTGTCAAGAGTTTTGGGTGTCAGTTACATAATAGTACACTCTCGATTCTTTAAGTTTGACATTGTAACCAACGTATTTGACTCTTTTTTAAAAAAAAAGGTTGGATTCTACTCATTCTAGATACGATGTTGTGGGAAAAAAATGAAAGAGAAAAAAGATGGATTCGTTATAAGTAAAGCTAGTTACGATGCTCTTCCTATGCTTATTGATGCATTTTGACTAGTTGAACCCACACATATTTCACTTCAACACCTCTTAGTTCATCAATATACCAAATAATCTTATTAAAAACAAACTATTATTTTATAAAATAATGTATTCACTTTCTCTATATCTCAACAATACATTACATTGCCTCTTTATATACACACTAAGACACATAAAGAAAGAATAATTACACAAATCTTCTAACGGCTAAATATCAACGGCTAGCTACCAATAATCACAACTTACCAATTCATCACATTTTCCATATCAATCAAATCTTCAACACTCCCCCCTCAAGTTGAGCATGTAGATCTTGCATGCCCAACTTGACAACATTTGATGAAAGCTTGTCACACTAACTGCTTTTGTAAGCATATTTTGATCTTTCGATTTCACAAAGGGAAAGCAGATATTATTCCTATGTTGAGTTTCTCTCGTATGAAGTTTCGATCTATCTCCACGTGCTTTGTTCGGTCGTGTTGAACTGGATTATGGGTTATGTCAATAGCAGCTTTGTTGTCACAAAACAATGCCATTGACTTTGTCGAAGCAAAACCTATTTCAGTTAGAAGATTCTTTAACCACAACAATTCTCGTAGTCCTTTTTCCATACCTCGAAATTCTGATTCTGTACTTGAAAGTGAAACCACTTTCTGCTTTTTGATTCTCCAACTCACCAGGTTTCCACCTACAAAAGTAAAATATCCTGAGGTTAACTTACGATCATTGATGTCTCCTGTCCAATCAGCGTCTGTGTATCCTTCGACGTCAAGATGACTGTGTTTACTAAACATGAGACCTTTGCCTGGTGCTGCCTTTAAATAGCGTAGTATCTTTGTAACTGCATCCATATGCTCCTTACTTGGCTAATGCATGAATTTACTCACAACACTAACTACAAAAGCTATATCAGATCGAGTGTGAGATAAATAAATCAATTTCCCACTATTATTTGATACCTTTCTTTGTTTGTTGGTGATTGGTTAGGATCCACCGAGAGCTTTAGATTTTGCATCATTGGTGTCTCAATTGGTTTGTAATCTAGCATTCTGGTTTCTGCAAGTAAATCCAATACATATTTTCTTTGTGATATAGTATAACCTTTATAAATTATACTCGATAAATTAATATCTCAATAAATTAATATATTTTTTAAGTTCTAAATTAGTTTTTCGAGTAGATTTTTATATCGATAAATTAATAAATTAATAAAATATTTTAATCTCGACATTATTAATTTATAAAAGTTTTACTGTATAAAGATTCCTTGTTTTGAACTGTTTTGACCTTGCTACTTCAGCTCCCAAAAAATATTTTAAACCACCGATCTTCATCTCAAACTCACTATTAAGGAAGAGATAAACCTTAAATATATTCAAACCTAAAATATAAGAATCTCGGTTACACACAACACCAACACCAATGTCTGTTTCTTAAAATATAAGATTTTACCACAATGCAGTTACACACAACACCAATGTCGGTTTTTTTTCTTCAGAAAATTAAAATTATATTAAGATGAATTTGAAATTACATAATAGTCACGGTACAGAGCATTAGCCAACTCGAAGAATACAGACATCTTGAGAAGGAAAGGTAATTTGCAGGACCTTTCTTTGCTAATATGTCGGTTTTCTGTTCAATCGACCAAAAAAATCTACAATCATCGTAAAATATTTTCATATCTCAAGCCATAACCTCTCGACACATTATCAATGTTTCTACTCTCACCTTCGCTTGGTCATGTATTCTTTATCTCAGATTTCACTCGTTCATACCGCAGAAAGGCGGATATTTTTGTCTTTTAAAGCATCTACAATGGCCAAAAGGAACTACAACTATTTTTGTAGATGATCGAACTCAATCTTTGGCATTGATCCACTCTAATTACACGTTCTTGATTTTGTTCTCCAATTATCGTCATCCTAAAGTAATACATTATGGTCGTGAAGCTTTTGAGTTATTATCAACCAAGAAAGAGCAAGCACATATGGATCAATGCCAAAGATGGATCAAACCCATAGATGGAGCTCTATCAAGTGGAAACAATTGATTACATCTCTTGCTTCTTATTAATCTCTTCCTCCAAGACCCGCTAAACCAAAATCCACTCATAAGATATGTAAACACTTTTTTCATAATATGCAAACAAATACAAATATGCAATCAAAATTAAATATGCAATACTTTACTAAAAAAACGTTTTAAGGTTTTTGTAAACTGTTTCAAATTTACTGAACAAAAACGATCCAATATGCTACGTTTATTGCTTACTCTGTTTGGTATTCGTGAAACTTGCATCAATATAGTATATCACTTGCTTGTAAAAAGTGTTTTACATACGAACAATGTTCTTTTGAGAGTGAACTTTAACTACAAACAATATTTACTCATAACTCAAACTTAGTTCATTGTTGTATTTTTGAGACTCCACATTTGATTGACAAATCTTACAGAGCTAGATAGGGTGAAATTAAAATCATTACGGGAACTATGTAATCAACATCTGCCAGCAGAGGGAATACAAAGACTTATCAAAAAATTCAAACTTAAAAAAATTAGTGACATAGTTCCCGCAAGTCTATTAAAACATTCTAACGAGAGGGATCCACGCCAATCAAAAATTATGTTATTTTATGAATTGCAAATTTCTTTATTGCAACGTGTGATATGTTTGGAAAATTGGAAAGCGAAGCAATCAGAATAATCGGGGCCATTGTGATTTCCAATTATCAGAATAAGCAACCAGTCAAACGATTGTACATTCGCTAAATCAGAACATAATAATAAAATTAAAAGGAAGGATCATCAGATAGGAGCGAAAGACTATGCTGAATAGATGTAATCATGTAAGATTTTTATCATCTGAACTATGCGTTATCAATCATCACTTGACCCTTCCTTTAAGCTTTCTCATCAAAAATAAAGATTTTAGAAAATCACACAGCGAATCAAAAATCGGAATCAAAAATCGAAATTTGGATTTTATCAAAATAGGCCTCATAGAGAAGATTAGATATTATCAACAAGGATTAATTCAGACATATGCTTGTCAAAATTGTTTTAAATCACAGGCCTAAGCAATCAAAAACACAATCAACCAAAACAGATTCAAACGCAGAAAAACAAAATCGGATTCGAGGTTAGCGGAAAATAATTCAGCCTCATAAAGTAGATTAGATTTATCAACAAGGATTAATTCAGACATATGCTTGTCAAAATTGTTTTAAATCATAGGCCAAAAATCGATGAAAACAATAGAAAAATTTTGGGAGATGGACTCAGAATATGGGTGGTGATATAACAGAATGGTCGGCAAATTAGCTTTTTACGGCATATATTACGACGAACGAGACCTTTCAATATCAATCGTCACTGTCCATAAACACATAAATCAAAAAAAAAATTTCAAAAATTCATTGAAATCGAGAGAGAAAGATGAAAAAAAATGAGGAAGAGAAGCTAAACTCGGCGTAGATCGGAATAAATCCTAAGAAGAATGTTTACTCATATTGTTAAACTTTCACAAGCTTTTTAGTTTTTATACAAGAAACAAATATTTGGGAGCTAGGGTTTCGGGGAAACAAACGACATGTAGTTTCAACAAATTATTCTAAACTACACGCTGTTTCGTGAAAGATAAACAAACTACACGCTGTTATAGAGTCTCTCTAATTGCAACAAAACCCAAAAGTCTGGGCCCATTGGCCCATTATAGACAGATAATAGATTATTGCAAAAAATATGTTCCAGTTTTGCAAAAAATATGTTTTAGTTTTGTATTTTTTTCGTTTTGCTAAAATATACACTAAGTTCGATCGGTGACAACGTTTAAATAAGTTGGTTACAAATTTTGAACTAAAAAAACAGTTAAAAATAATGGTTGGAGAAGGCGGTTTAGTAACAAATGGTGATTCAACCGCTTATTTCACTCACTTCGATGTTTAGAGGCCATTGGAGTGGTTCATCTCCAAACCTTGGCAACCAATCAGAGCCATTGACTATCATTACAAAAGAGCATCGGTTTTAACATCCTCCTAATATATGTTATAGTTTTGAGTTTTTTGTGGAATTTTTTGTTTTTTTCGCAATTTTGCGTGTACTGATAATACTAAGAAAGATATTTTTTTTCATGGAAGGACAGAGTCCCACAACGGGAGAAACTTTCTACATAGTTACTTCAATTCAGATGGCTTCAGAGTATTTCTTTAGTTATATAATCAATAATTGACTTGTATTTTTTTGAGAAATTAGACTTATATTCACCCGACCTAATTAAGTTTGGGTAATTCAAAAAATGACAACAAACCCCTATTCTTTAATAAATAAAGTCAAAAATAAATCCTCCAACTTCATTTAGGACATCTTTAACACAAACAACAAAAATAATCAAAACACCAAAGCTCACAAAGGAATATCAACAAGCAAAACATAATTTGCTAACGAGAAAGCTAGACAAAAAAAAAGAGTAACAAAGCAAGAAACTAACAACAAGATTAAAGGAATGAACAACGAGGAAGCGCTTGAAAGAAGATCCCAACCATAGACGAACGTGGACTGACTGAGATCAGTAGATAGGTATATACCGTCTTCTCTAGCTTCCCATACGTCTCCATTTACAACATCAATGACTTGGTGATGCTTGAAGTCAGGTCCTTGCCATAGATATATAACACCGGAATATTGGTTCTAAGTAATCACATCCTCTGTAAAGCAAATTGTAGGATCCTGTGGGTGCACCCTATTGTATCTCATATAATGGCCCTTGGATTTGCAGTGGACTATGAGATCGTTTTGGTTTCGTAGGAAGTTTCTGATCGAAACGGTATTTGTGTGAGACAAGGCTGTGTTATTAATCATGGTTAGGCCAAAGGCAAAATCAAATAGGAAAAACGAAAGACGATTCATCGATATCTTGTATGATTTTAACTAATGCTTGATTTTTTATGCTGAGTTTTATGATCTTGAAACGAGACCAGGAGGATTATGGAGAGAGAGGAAAATCTTGGGAGAGAAACCTTGTTAGATGGTGTTCTTTAGTTAATTTGTTACGAATAATAAGAAAGATTTGTCATAGTCCTATTAGTTTTTGGAAACTTTAAAGTACTAAAAATACTATTTTCGGTTTGGATAATTATCAATAAGCAGTAAAAAAACACATATATTTTTAATATTCTCATAGTTTTTCAATAATTTTGTAACTATTAAAGTATTAAGGAACCAGGTTTCATTTCAATTCAATTTTTGCAAATATTATTGTAGGCGATGTTTTTGTAGGTTTGGAGGCTCTTATACACAAGTCCAAAACTATTTAGTAACCGTAAATATACGATGATTCTTATATATATATATATATATATATATTCAATTGAATTTGAATGTGAATAATGAAGAAACATTAAACTCTAAATGGAAATAGAAAACCTAAATATAATATTTTTAATTATATTTTAAACTTATCTAGAATAAACAAAGTATTTTTAGATGTAGTTGTTTGTGTGCTACTTTTGGAATTTCAGTTTGGTGTGCTAGAATCAAAACAATAAACTAATTTGTGTACTATGTTGTATTTTTTTGTAAGTATTATACAAAAGTATTATACTTATATAGTTTTTTATAATCAGTGAACTCTGTAAGTGGAGATGGCTACAAGATTGTATTGCTTTTCGAATAATCCAATTTGTTTTCACCCGACCTAATCCATTGCTGATCAAACCTTACAACAAAACCCTATTCTTGAATATAGTAAAACCTTGATAAATTAATACTCGATAAATTAATAATTACTATAAATTAATAAATTTTGCTGGTCCCAAGTCGGGTCAATGTAAAAATCCATCAAATTTGATAAGATAATAAGATAATAATTTTTTTCGAAACCCTTATATAAATATATGGTCCCAACAAAAACATAAATTAATAATTATATAAATTTATGTAAATATATGTAAATATAATATTCTAAAATATGACTAATGTGTTTGCTTTTACTTAAAGTTGAAATCTCATTGGTTCTCATCTCTCCAATTATTATATCAGTAGCTCTTATTGCTGTTTTACTATATACATTCAAAATTATGATAATTTTTTGATGTGATAATTGATTTTCTTACATATAAATATTTTTAAATGTATTGTAGTATTATCTTTAATTTTATCATCACTAATACTGATAGTAGCCATTGTTTTTTTTATAAGTTTTAAACTTATGAACATATATATTTTTACATGGACAATCCAATCTGGTGTTAAAAACTATTTTATTATGATAGGTATGATTGTTAATCATAATTTATATCATAAGATTTGTTAAAATTTTAAAATATAACATTATTCCAAAGAAATTTTTAAAAAATTATATACGGAAAGCAAATTTTCTCTATAAATTAATAATTATTAATTTATAGATAAATTAATATCACGATAAATTAATAAAATATCATGGTCCCAACATTATTAATTTATAGAGGTTTTACTGTATAGAAGAAAACTCACGTAATTAAAACTAACAAGTAAAAAAGAGAAAGAAAAAAACTCTATCTCTAAGTTCAATTCACTTATTAAAATCTTCCAAACACAAACAAAAAAAAAAACTAGATAAAAGAAAAGAGAAACAAGGAAGAAACTAACAACAAGCTTAAAGATGATCCCAACGAGGAAGCTCTTGATGATAATATTGAAGCAACATCCCAACTATACACGAACGCGGCTGGACGTTGATTTACAGATAGGTATACACCGTCTTCTCTAGCTTCCCATACATTGCCATTATCAACCTCAAAGTCTTTGTGATGCTTGAAGTCAGGTCCTTGCCATAGATGACACCAGACTCTATCGCAGTCATCGCATTCACCTTCTTTGTAACGCAAACTGTATGGTCTTGTGGGAAGCACCCTATGGTATCCATTATCTACGTACTCGGATTTGCAACGGACTATGAGTTCTTTTTGGTTAGGCAGAAAGTTTGTGATCCACACGGTTCTTGTGTGGCCTGATAAGGCTGTGTTGCTCATCATCATGGTTAGGGTAAAGACCAAAACACAACGGAGAAACGATAGACGATTCATTGATATCTCCTGTGTGTGTTTTTGAACTAATGCTCGATTTTTCAAACGAAGATCTGCGCATAGAATGTTGGAAATAGTTCTTTAGTTTGTTATATCTCTTCTCATTATATATAGAGAATACAAGTCATACAGTCCTACTAGTAATAGGAAAAACAGAATTAAGTAATAACAATATTATCTTAGTTTATGAGAATTCCAAAGTTTGCATATAAATAATTTTAGTTTTTTTTATATATATATATATATATATCATACTTTTACTATAATATGGGTTACTTCTTAACTAAGGATCCCAATGGCACTCCGATTCAGGTGGTTACAATGACCCTAGTCATGATATACTAGTGAATGATGATAATCCGATTTGACAACGATGCGATTCATCAATTTTTAGAGAGTAATTATTTTTTTTTTCAGAAATTGTACATAACTCATATCGCACCAAAAAGCTGTGATTGTGGTGCCATTTTACAATAACACATTTAAATTAATTTTTTATAGTATAATTTTGTATTCTAGTCTCACCTAAATCGCCTTCCCATTCAAGAATATAGGATAATCACATTGTACCTATTGCCAATAAACAACTTTCAGAACAGATGTACATGATTTCTGGATTATAAATCTTGAGAGTTAAAGGGCCTATATATTGGGATTGGCTATATATTGGACTTGACAATGGGCAACTAATGGTCGAGAACGGTAATTTGTTCCTATGTATTCCATTTATCCATTATGTGTCTTTTGGATTTGTTACACCCTCACTAGCTAAATATGACGCCAATACTTACCATTATTAGGGTCTTGATCACCATAACATAAGGAGAGAGGATGCTCATCGTATCTATGATTTACCACTTTTGGCCAATTAGAGCAACGATAATCCCAACTCAAAGTCACAATCATCACAAGAGATCGAGCATCGGTTTGAACATCCTTTTAATATATGTAATAGATTTTAGTTTTTGGGATATTTTTTCGTACAAGAAAGAGATTTCTTTTCATGGAAGCACAAAGAGTCCAAAAAACACGAGAGAGACATCCTACATAGTGGCTTCAGAGTAATTATTTAGTTATATTCATTAGTTTCGAGAAATCTGACATACTGTATATTCACCCGACCTTACTAAGTTTGAGTAATTCAACAAAACCGTATTCGTTAATGTACTAAGTCCAAGTTCGTTTAGGACTTAAAATTAATCAGAAAATAATCTCTCCAAGTTCATTCAGCAAATCTCCAACAAAAAACAAAAATAATCAAAACACCAAAGCTCATAAAAGAAAATCAAAAACCAAAACATGATTTGATAACAAGAAAACTAGATAAAAGAGAAGAGAAACAAGGAAGAAACTAACAACAAGCTTAAATAGAAGCAACTCGATCCCAACGAGGAAGCTCTTGATAAGGTTAAAGGAACATCCCAACCATACACGAACGCGGACCCACCGCTTCTTGTCGCTTCATATATACCGTCTTCTCTAGCTTCCCATACGTTGCTACCATAAACATTAAAGACTTGGTGATGCTTGAAGTTAGGTCCATGCCATAGATGACACCAGAATGTTTCTTGGTAGTCTGAGAGATCATCTGATTCTCTGTAAAGGAAATTGTAGGATACTGTGGGACGCAGCCTATGGTATCCCTTATCGTGGTCCACGGATTTGCAATGGACTATGAGATCGTTTTGGTTATGCAGAAAGTTTCTGATCCACACGCTAGCTGTGTAGGACGACAAGGCTGTGTTACTCATCATTGTTAAGCTAAAAGCCAAAACAAATAGGAGAAACAATAGACGATTCATCGACATTTTGGTGTTTTGAACTAATTAGTGCTCGATCTTTTTTTTTTTTGCTGTGAGTTTTATGATTTTGAAACAAAGTTCTTTAGTTTCTTACCTCTTTTATAATGATAAAATTAGATTCTAACCCGTAGTTGTTTATATTTTTTTAATAATTTGTGTTTTTTTTGTTTAGATATATATATAGATATATATATATATATTATAAATATATATTTTTAATAAGTGACAAAGATTAATTTTGTGTTTAGATAGAATTCGTTTTTGTATATTTTTTTAGTATTAAATATGACGTGATTATAAAATCATAATTCTATTTTATCTGTTCATAATAATAAAAAAAATTCGAGATTATATATTGGGTTTTTCTAAGCTCATGTCCAACTTCCCTAATTAGTATGATATTGTCCGCTTTGGGCCCAACAAGCAAAGCCCGCACGTATTTGTTTTTTTGGGCTCCTTCCCAAAAGGCTTCATACTAATTAGAGTTATACATTACTTATATACTAGACCATATTAGTCTAAACTTCCGATGTGGGACTTTGGATTGATTCCCAACATTATAAAACATAATTCTAATCAGTTCGTTTATATTATCATAAAATATAAATATTTATTAATTTTAATAATTTAAAACTATTAAACTAATTAATCATGATAAAATATGCAATAGTATATAGTTTATTATTTCAATCATTATAAAAAAAAAATTCGTACCAAGAAAGAGATTTCTTTTCATGGAAGTACAAAGAGTCCAAAAAAAACACGAGAGAAACTTTCTACATATTGGCTTCCGAGTATTTATTTAGTTATATTCATTAATTTCGAGAAATCTGACATATATTCACCCGACCTAACTAAGATTGAGTAATTCAACAAAACCGTATTCGTTAATGTACTAAGTCCAAGTTCGTTTAGGACTTTAGATTAAATTAGAGAATAAACTCTCCAAGTTAATTTAACAAACTCTCCAACAAAAACAAAAATAATCAAAACACCAAAGCTCATAAAAGAAAATCAAAAACCAAAACATAATTTGCTAACAAGAAACTAGACAAAAGAGAAGAGAAACAAGGAAGAAACTAACAACAAGCTTAAATAGAAGCAACTCGATCCCAACGAGGAAGCTCTTGATAATGTTAAAGGAACATCCCAACCATACATGAAGGCGGACGGACGTAGGTTTTCAGATAAATATATACCGTCTTCTCTAGCTTCCCATACTTCGCCAGTGTAAACATTAAAGACTTGGTGATGCTTGAACTTAGGTCCATGCCATAGATGACACCATAATGTATCTTCGTAGTCGAAGGAATCTCCTTTTCCTTTGTAAAGGAAATCGTAGGATACTGTGGGAGGCAGCCTATGGTATCCATTATCTTGGTCCAGGGATTTGCAATGGACTATGAGATCGTTGTGGTTATGCAAGAAGTTTCTGAACCACACGGTTCCTGTGTAGGACGACAAGGCTGTGTTACTCATCATGGTTAAGCTAAAGGCCAAAACAAATAGGAGAAACGATAGACGATTCATCGACATCGTCTTGGTGTTTTGAACTAACTAATGCTCGATTACTATTTGCAAGTTGCTGGGTCATATCGTTGGATCTATGGATGATATCGTTTCCTGGGTACGATCTCCCACACATAATGATTAATTTTATACTATTTTCAATTCACATAGATTAATTTTATATTCAGAAATATTTTTTTTATCATTTTTTATTCTACTATTAAATACGATCGCGATTATAAAAAATATAATTCTAACATGTTCGTTTATATTAATCCAAAAAATTCACAATTATAAAAATTATATTACATAATTCTAACTAATCCGTTCATATTATTGTATGATATAAATATTTATTAATTTTTAATATTTAAAATTTTTATACTAATTGATCATGATGAAAATATGCAATAACATATCATTATCATCTCAATTATTATAAAATTATTTTTAAAATTTAGATATCTTAATTAAATCTAAATTAATATCCAATTTTTTATTTTTGTAAAATATACCAATAACAGATACAAAATTAATCTAATTTATATTTAAATAAATCCATTAATATATACTAATGTTCGAAATTATTTTTTAATTAAAATATGATATTTAATTAATATTTTAATAAATTAATTTGTTTGGTAACAAAAATAGTAATTATCTAAGTAAAAAATAATCTAAAAAAGTATTTTTGTTTGGACACAAAAATATATATTGTAATAGTATAGATAATACTTGTCATAGTCCTATTAGTTTTAGGAAACACCAAAATAATTAAAATATTATATATCTTCGGTTCAGATAATTCCAAATAAGCAGTAAAAAAAATTCATGTATATATTACCGTGCAGTTTTTTATTTTTATTTTTATTTTCATAGTACAATGCATATTCTTTAGATATGTAAAAAGCTAGTATAAATATATACATACATACAAATTGGGTTTGCATATATATAAATTAAAAAAAATTAATATTTTCAAAATTTGGTTTACTTAAAGAATGAGATTTTAATTCAATTTTTTTTTTTTGCAAATATTGTAGCCAGGATGTTTTTGTATCTTTGGAGACTCTTTTGCACAACTCCAAAACTTTTTATTAACCGTAAATATACGATTCTAAGATAATTAAAAATAATAATAATCAATTGAATTCGAATACGAATAGTTGATGAAAATCCATGAGCTGCTTTTAAAGGAAATAAAAAGGGGATGGGACTAAACAAACATATTTTACAGCATACTAAAAGGAGTAGGAGAGTCTAGGATATAGACACAAACAGTGTTAACACAAGTCACAAGAACAAACACTTCTAAAACACCATTGCTTTCTAATGCTTCAACATCAAATGTGCAATTAACTGACTCCAAAAGAAGAAGACGTTAAAAGAAGATTTGAGAATCTGTTTGTTTTCTGCAAAGGACTAAATTTTCAGTTTCTTTCAGCTCTACTACTTCTACTTCTTTCTGGAGCCATTCTCATATCGAGCGTTGAAAGAACTTGCGGCATTGACATTCCTCCCGATACAACGATCTCTGCAGATAAAATAAAAACAAACCCTCAAGGACTAGAAGATAACATCTCCGACATTTTCAAGGTAAAATCAATTGATCTTTTTTCCTCACCTATGCCTTCCCTTACTGAGAGATTTGGTCTGATCACATCATTTGTACTAACAAGGAATACATCTCCAATATAAAGGTGATTCGTGGGAACATACACACAGCAAAGTTCCTCTTCATCTGAGTAAGTCTGCAATTAAAACATTTTTAAGCTTTGTTTTAAACCTGCATTTGCATGAAGAACGTTGTGGTTTCATGTAACAGACCTGGAGAACAACAGTCGATGTGATGAACCCAATCGCGTATTCACCAATACGTGGATGCCTTATAATGGCGACTTCCTTGAAAGCCTGAGTGTTTTGATCTGGAATGTAATGGTGACAAGTCATATAATCAACTACTCCTCTCCACCAAAAACGATCAAACCAAAGAGATTGAGAGAAAGAAGCCCAACGATACCTGGCGATATAGCAGTACTGATTTGCTTGGAGGCGTTGTAGATATGGCGAACAAATGGCATCCGCTTGATAAACCACTCTCCCAAATTCAGAACCGATGTCCCCAACCATGACGACATGAACACTCCAACCAAGAAGATGAATGTAAGGGACGTGATAAAGCCGAGTCCTGGAAAGCAAATTTACAAAACAAGACTGACATTAAATGTTGTCTACTACATTTGTCTTCAACTTGTAGAGCCATATGATTTGGTTTTTGACAATATAGAGTTACTTCGTGATGGCCAATGAACATACATGTAGTTACTAGACGGAGATATTGAGGAGCTAGAAGCTCACCAAATATATCAATTCCGAGTTGAGCATAAATTGGGGAGAAAAATCCATCAACGAAATGAATAAACCACCACGTCACGTAGAAAGTGATCGCCATTGGAAGCAAGATCACACTGCAAGACGATTTAGAGAGTCAGAAGATGCAGAGATTTAGCTTAGAGATCAAATGCAAAACGAAATCCTCAATTACGATAAGCAAGAAAAGACAAGACGTTCCCCTACCATCCAGTCATGAACTTCTTTGATGCCCAGCTTCTTATCAACTTGTAAAAGGTCTAAAGATAAACCAAATTCTTAGTCAGAAAAGAGATCAAGACTGGATAGCAGATAAGAAACAGAGTTTCATTTCTTGTATTGCAACAGATTCTCATGTTCTTTGGTAATCACTAAATCATCCAGGAACAACTTCAAACTTCTTTGAACAAAATGCTGAAACGAAAAATAGATCCTTGTTTTCAAAAATCTTGATCCGATCAAGCTAAAGCTAACTTTCCAATTCTCAACCTCGAACCCGAAATTGACCAACAAAGAGAAGATTCTGCACTAAACCCAACAAAAATGGATGAAAAATTCGAGGAATTTCGCCATCAAAAACCCTAAATCGCAGAATCCGAACAGCGCACAAACTAAAAAACCCTAAGGGCCGTAATTTCCGAATCGAGATCATAAAAGTGATAACCTCGTGACCAGCGGGATGTGAGGAAGAAGACGAAGAAGAAGAAGAGGGTTTGGGTGTAGCATCGTCATCATCTTCGCCGGAATGAGCAACTGGAATCAGAAGCTCCCGATCTCTGTTAGCCATCACGCTCCCGGGTTTCGCGTCGCCCATAAACGGTAACGAAAGAGAAGGAATTGAGAAACCCAGCAACAGAGACGGAGCAAATGGAGAAAAAAGGAGATCAACAATGGAAGAAAGGTCAAAGATTCAACGAGGAAGAAGAAAAATCCCCAAAGCTGACCTCTAATTCGACGGTCAGAGAAAGAGAGAGAAAGAGGAGAGAAAGACTATCTGTTTCCAGTCTGTTTCGGAAATTTGTTAATATTTTTTTAATCTTCGTCTCTAATCATTTTAATTATTAATGGAAAGCAATTAATCAATTATCAAAAATCATTTGACAGTATATGAAAATTAAAAACTATACTGTGTATCATTGTCGTAATTGGTTTTAATATGTTTAATGAGGGTGTTTTACAATAACTTGTTAGTTAATTAATGTGTTAAAAAAACAAATGCAATGTTGGACTTTGAACGAAAACAGTGAAACTTAGCCTGGGCATATTATCCGGACCCGAGAACCCGCTCTGGAATCGACCCAAAAAACCTGGTCCGAATCGATTTCGGATACCACCTAATTATTCGATAGATTCTATTTCTTGGACCCGTGGGTAACGGTTCGGATCCGGAGTTTCTCTTAAACCCGATAGTGTACCCGATTTTCTTAAGTTTTCTTTTTCTTCTCTTCGATTCTTTCTAAGTTTGATCTTGAGAGAATATTGATTCAAATCAAATCACTAAAATTTCCCGACGATCTCGCAAACCAACTTCCCATTATCAAAACCTTGGATCGATTTACTTATAGCTGCTCTAAACCCCCAATTTACAAACTGGAATCCCTAAATAAGAAAAACGTGGCCTCCAAATCGCGATCGCCGTCTCCTTCAACTGAATCATCGAGAAACTTGTCTGAGGTAAGTGGTTATCAAATTTTAAATTCGTGATCTTGATCTCTGACTTTTATCTGTTCTAACGCTAATCGATGAAGGATGAACTCTGAATTCTGAGTACACTTATGTTCGGTACTTTGATATGTCTTTTTTTGTTTGATATGTGTTTTTGTTTGTGATTGATTCACTTACTTTGTTTTCATTACATTCGTATATGCTTTGTATGAGATTGACTCACACTCACTTAAGTTTGATATGTGTTCGAAATGCTTCAAAAAAAAAAAAAATCTAGCTGACTTGTTCGATGGATGAACTCTGAAACTTATGTTGGAAACTTGGAATTGTGTTTTTGTTTACGATTGATTATTTGATTCACTTACTTTGTTTTCATTACATTCATATTCAGTTGTATGAGATTGATTCACTTATGTTTGATATGTGTTTGAAATCCTTGCGAAAAAAAAACTCTTTCTGACTTGTTGTCTTGTACGATGAACATCTGAAACTTATGTTTGATTTTTGACTTGGTGTTCATACTTCTAATGTTCTATACTATGTCTTATGCAGATGGCATCTTCTGAAAACCCACCAAGCAATGATGTTCCAATGAATGAACGTGGAGATGATTTCGAAGACACAGATGATGCTGTTGAAACACCTTGTACTCGGAAGAGGAAAGAGTCTCGAGATTCTGGTTCTATCTCAACAAAGAAGACAAGGTCGAAGATGTGGGAACACTACACAAGACAGAAGAACAATTACGACAAGTGTAATTGTAATTATTGTGGCCGTGAGATGTCTTGTCCAACCAAGTCAGGGACCTCTAGTCTAAAGAAGCATATAGACTTCTGTTGCAAGGCATACCGAGCATGGAAGGCTGCGAACAGGGATAATAACCAGACTGTGTTATCTCCTACTGGTGAAGATGAGAAGCTGGGTTTAGGTAAGGTTTCTGAGCTTGTGTTTAGGGAAGCTTCACATGAGATGCTGGTTTTAGGGGAGTTGCCGTTAGCTTTCATAGAGAGTGTAGCTTGGAAGCATTTCACATCAAAATGCAAACTACACACTCCTCATTCTCGGAGAACAGCAACAACGGATATTGTTGACATGTATGTATCTCGGAAGGCAAAGATGATGGAGATTCTTGCAACAAGCAGCGACTGTCTCTAACAACTGATATATGGACTGCTCCATATACTAGTGCAAGTTACATGGTCATCACAGCTCATTTTGTTGATGCTTTTTGGAGATTACGAAAGATGATCATAGGGTTTAAGAATGTTTCCGACCATAAGGGATCAACTATTTGTAAGGTTCTGCTGGAGGTTTTGGCTGAATGGGATATCAAGAGAGTGTTTACCATAACCGTGGACAATGCCACATCTAACAGCTCGGCTATGAAGAAATTCAAAGAAGCATTTATGCAACAGGGAGATGATGCATTGGTTCTTAAAGGTCAGTACCTACATCTAAGGTGTGCAACACACATTTTGAACCTCATTGTGAAGGATGGTTTGGCGGAAGAAGACAACAGTATTGTTGCTATTAGGACTGCCGTTCACTACGTACAGTCTTCTACAAACAGAGTGAAATCTTTTGAGTTTCGAGTAGAGACAGGAAAGATGACTAGAGGAAGCTTACCTCTAGACGTGAAGACCAGGTGGAATTCCACATGTCTCATGCTGGAACAAGCTTTGAAGTTTTGGTTGGCTTTTGAGAGGATGCAGGCTGAAGATAAACCTTATGGTGACCATTTTCTTGAACAAGTAGAAGGGAAAAAGAGGATTGGACCACCAACTACAAGCTATTGGGATGCAGTTGACATGTTGGTTCAGTTTCTTGTAATTTTTTACAAATCTACATTGATGCTTTCTGCTTCTACATCTGTGGCTGCTCACAAAGTCTATAATGAGATTGTCACTATTACTTCAAACATTAGTGACATTAGTACTAGCCCAGTAGCTGATGATACCCTTGAAGAGTAGAGCCTTAGCAATGATTGGTAAATTGGAGAAGTATTGGGATCCGTTTAGGGAGAAGAATGAGATGAATAGGCTTGTGATAGTGGCTAGTGTTTTTGATCCACGAAAAAAGATGAAGTTTGCTCAGTTCTGTTTTGATTCTCTTTATGAGAAGGATAGTGCCGCTGGTAAAAGTCTATGATTCCATTGAGCAAATTTTAAAGGATTTGTTTGCTGAGTACAACAGCTTAGTAGATCGAAGTAGTTCTACAGGGTCGCAGGGACAATCTTCTTCTCAGTCCCAAGGAACGTTTTCTCAGTCTCAAGAGCAAATCGGTACTGATGTTTTTGAAAGAAGTGTTCTGAGTCATGGGGTTGGGTATAAACGAATGGACAGCATATATGATGAGCTTGTAGAAGAAGCAGGAGTTGATGACTCAACAAATGAGTTAGAGATATATTTGAAAGAGGCTGTTGATAAACCAAAACTGATGAAAGGTACAGAGTATGATATCTTGGGATGGTGGATGAGAAATAGTGGCAAGTTCCCAGTCCTTTCACTGATTGCAAAAGATATACTTGCAATGCAAGTGTCATCTGTTGCATCCGAATCCGCATTTAGCACAAGTGGGAGAGTGTTAAGCCCATACAGAAGCTGTTTGACACATTACATGGTTGAAGCGTTGATGTGTACTGAACAATGGTTAAAATGTGAGATTCATATCAATGAAAGAGGAGTGTCAACTTGTGAACAAATGCTTGCGGAGGTGGAGCTTGAAGATGAACTCATGAGAAGTAAGTTTGTTCCCTTTTACTTGTCTCTTTGATTATTAAGTTTGATAATTGATACTTTGATTTCTAACCTTTTTTTTGGACCTTTTTTAAATAGAAAACAACCCTGAGTTTAATATGACACGAAGCTGAGCTGGTGATAGTGAAAGAGTGTTTGATTCTTTGTGAACTTGCAAGTGAAAGGTAAACACTGATTACTACACTTGGGAAGTGACACATTTTGTTTGTCTTCGTGATATTAGGAGATTTTTTAAACTGATTTGCATCTTGTGTTTGCTTCATGTATTATTGTATTAGGTCTTCAAGCTCAAGTCATCAAGTTCGGGATTATCAAACATCTATGAACGAACAAGTGGTCTACTGCTCTCGGTTTTTTTACTAGTATTACTAAGTTTTCATAGTTTTATGCTTCATGACATGAAGTTCATGCACTTTTGTTTTAGGATTTCTAAGTTTTTAATACTTGGTTTTGTGTTCTAGGATATTTAAGTATCTCTAAATCATTTCTAGTTATGAATTTGCAAGTTACAATGGTAAAAACTTCATCTCTTTATGCATTTCAAGTTTTTCTTATTGAATTTCAGTTATTTTTTTAAGAATTTCGGTTATTTGTGGTTATTTTCAGCAATTCGGGTCTGATTAAAACCGAACCGAACTGGTACCCAATTTTTCGGTTCAATTTCGGTTTTTATTAATTATATCCGAACCGACCCGTAATCGACAAGAACCGATCCGAAACCGGACCGAATAATTTCGGTTCTCAAATGGGTCTAGATTACAATAACCGAAAGAACCGAACCTGGTCATTCCTAATCCGGAACCGAACCGTAGAACCGAATGTCCATGTCTAATGAAACTTCTTCTAATCATTCACAATCACATGGATAATGTGTAATCAATACTAGTAACATCTTGGATATTTTAGGATAAATACATGGCTTAATCGAGATTTTTTTTATTTCTATTTATATAAAATCAAAGTACATCCGAATTGCATAAAAAAAAAAAACAATACAATATAACAAAACAACAAAATAAAAATTGACAATTCTTTGCTCCTATAAAATTTTACTTGCAAATCATATATATTATAAGCAAAGTAAAATTTTGAGTTAAAGCTCTCTCGTTCGTTCTTAGAGTGGCTAATTACCTTTTACCCCTCCTTATATTTTTAAAAATTAAATTTAATAAAAAAATTATTAAAAATCATAAATTAATTAAAAAATTATTAAAAATCGTAAATTAAATAAAATATTAAAAATCTTAAATTAATAAAAAAATTGTTAAAAATCGAAATTTAATCAAAAACATTTAAATTTAATAAAAATATTTAAAATCGAAATTTAATCAAAAAATATTTAAAATAGAAAATAACGAATATTTAAAAATTGGAATTTAATCAAAAAAACATTTAAAATCATATCATATATATTATATGCGAAGTAAATTTTTCGCTATAAGGTCTCTCATTCAATCTAGGTAACTAATTCCCCTTTATTCGTTAATAAAATCTTTTTTTAATATCCTCAATTAATTAATTTATTTTCGTAGTTTGTATAACAATTTTGCTGCCACTTTTAGTTACTTTGATAATATTAAGATAATTTCAATCGGATTATCTGTTGAACAAGATTATCTGGAAAAAAAATATACATGTGATGTGGGAAATCTTAGCTTAAGTTGAGAGCTATATATAAATATATTACTTTTTTAAATGTATCTTAAGCTCAATTGTGGTTTGGTTTCTACATTGGTTGGCTTTTCGTTGTATTGTTTACCATCTTTATTTTTTATAAATCAATTTTTCGATCTTTTCTATTGTTTTTTCCGTTTTCAGTACCAGTAGTAGTGTTCCTCGATTATATGTTGTTGTTTTGTGTTGTCAGTTATTCTTCCTTACTTAACTTGATTAAAACCATGTCAACATATCATAAATCATCTTCATTGTCTAATGAACATGTTTTAAGTCTTTTGTTTTTTGTTTGTTTTAAGTATGACTTTCTGAATTCTGTTTATTTTTGGAATAATGTAAGAGAGGCCAAATACACTAGCAGGACGCAGAGGAAAAAATCGAAAAATAAAACAGAAAAAGGAAAAAAGGGAAAAACGAAGTAGAAAAAGAAGAGAAAAAGATAAATTGAAACATATAGAAGAACATAGAGTTAACGAAAACGTAAAAAAAAGGAGGAAAAAATGAACAAAAAGTCCTAGACCATGAACGATAAGATCAAGATGGGTAACAAAAAATAGTGAAGAAGAAAAATGATAAGGAGATGAAGAACTCAAAGTTGAAGAAGAAACCTGAAAGAAAAAGAAGAACAAAAATGGTAGATGAAGAAAATAAAGTATAAGAAGATGAAAATCCGACGATGAAAAAGAAAATAAAAAAGAAGAAAGTAAAGATGCAAAAAAGACAAACAAAAATTAGAAAGAAAAAATGTTTGGATATGACAAAAATGATCAAGAAGAAGTAAAAAGCAGAAGATAAAAACGGCTAATAAAACCAAAAGAAGAATAGTAGAAGATGTTGAAGAATAAAAATTTAGAGAATACAAAAACAATAAAATAAAACAAAGAAGAAGGGGCAGACAAATAAAACAAAAAAAAATCAACAGAAAAAACAAAGAAAAAACCGAATGAAAAAAAATCAAGAAGTCAAAGAAGATGAATAAAATACATAAGAAGAAATAGTCAAAAACAATGAAAGATAAGAAGGAAAAAACAAAGAATAGAAAAGCTAAAAAATAAAGAAAAGGAGAAGAATAAGAAAACAACGATAATATAAAAAAAAATAATACAGTGAACAAGTAAGATTAAAAAATAGTCGGATAGGTCGATGACGATGAACAAAAAAAATTAAATGACCAATTGGAGAAGAAAAAAGATAATCAGAAGAAGAAGTCATAAAAGAAAACCAGTAGATAGTAGAGGAAGTGAAAGAAAAAATAATAAAATAGAAGAAAACTAGAAGATGAAAAAGACAAAGTTGAAAAAAGTAAATATGATGAAAAAACGAAGACAAATCAAATGAATAAGAAGTATAAAAAATGAAGAGAATAAAGAAGAAGAATTTGAAAACAAATAACGATAAAAAGAACTCAAAAATATAAGGAAAAAACTAAAAAAAGGAAAATATAAACAATGAGAGAAGTAAAAAGGCAGATAAGACAAAGATCTTTAAAATATGATGAAGAATTTGGAGAGAGGAAGAATAATTGGAATAAGAGGAATAAGAATTTGTTGAAGGAGAAAAGAAATAAATTAGAAGACAAAGTAGAAGAAGAAGAAGATAAGAAAAAATTGGATGAAAACCTTAAAAGATGAGGAATTGGAGAAAGTAGAAGAATATGAAGATGATGTAAAAGCCGAAAAACACTAGAAGAATAGAAAGTCGGTGATAACGAAGAAGATGATGACAATGAAAAAAGGAAAAGAAAAAAAGAAGAAGAAATAGAATAATAAAACATTGAAGAAGAAGAAAAAATGGAATAAAACCTGGAAGAGAAGAAAATCAAAAGATGTATGAGAGAAAAAAAGAAAAGATGTGGAGAAGAAGAAGATGTGAAAAAGAAAAACTAGTAGAATAAAAAGTAAAAAAAAAGATATAGAAAATAAAGAAGAAAAAAAAACAAAAAAAATAAAAAAAGAAAGAAAGAAGAAAATGATAGAGAAAAAATAATTAAAAGATAAATAGGGAAAAAGATGAATAATTTATATTAATTTTATTTTAATTTGTGTTTATTGATTTCATACACTTATTAGTATTGATTTTAAAGTTTTTAATGTTAAACCATGATTATTTTTATAGATTAGTTTTATTTTTAATATTGTATGTATCAAATTCTTGATCTAATTATTTTTGATTTATGACATAAAATTTTATTTTAGATTTTAACGAAATTTTTCGGTTCACGCAAGTCGCGGACTGAACACCTAGTAGAGAGTATCCGACTTTGAATAAGACTCGTCTTGAAATATTTGACCAAAAAATATTTAGTTTGAGATGTTATTTGTTATGACTCGTCATGAAATTTCGTGTAATATTCTTTTCCAAAAAAAAAATTGGGTAAATATGCAAGTATTTCATAGTTATACTTATATTTAGATAACGTAAAAGCCCTTTGTCGGATAATGCTAAAATTCACATTTTCGTATGGTTCGTGTTGACTAACGAACAAACTCACTCCAAAGAGTCTAGAAGAAAATGCAACAACGAAAACAAAAGAAGAAGACTATAGTTGAGTAGCTCTCAATCTGCATCTCCAAGACCATCTTTTCCATCGCCTCTCTTTGTAATTTCCGTGTAATGAGAGCTTGGTTTCTTCTTCTGCGATGATGCCACCTCTGCGTTTCTCCTTAGAACAGCTCCTGGTGATGGGTACGGTCTCTGTTGAAACAAAGGACCCTGAAAATACACATTTCGATCTCATCAAAGTTAAAGAGCTGAGTTTTGTGAGAAGCTGAAAACTATTCATCAAGAATTAAAAGAAAAAGTGGCATTACTGTGGCAGTTGTATCAGCAGCTCGTGGTTGTACTCCTTTCAGTCCAACAACCCTACAAGATGCAAAGGAATCAGATCAAATCCTTAGTTAAGATGAAGTAGCAGAAAAGAGGAATAGAGAAACAGTATATAGGTCATGTTTCGACACATGAAGTGGTTAAAAATGGGTGTTGTAGACATTACCAGCCACCCCGTGGAGCATCTGAGTAAGAGCTTGGGTCCATTGGGTCCAACTCATCATCCTCGGCAAGAGCACGTTTTTTGCCTAATCCCTTTTTCATCGGAGGTTTTGAACTTGACCTATTTCAATCATCATGTGTAAGGAGTAAACCACAACAGAAAGTGAAATGTAAAAGTATTACAGATAAACCTCATGGTTCAGTACTACATATAATGTGTTCAATCCTTGGTTTCATGTTGATAATTGGTACATTCTTCTCACAGAAATCCTGTCCTTACGAAAAGTGAGGCTCAGGGCTCAGAGAACATTTACATCTAAATGGGTTGTCTAAATATTTGCTAACATATATTTAGAACTAGCTCTCTTATGTAACATTCAGCTTTTAAGAAAGATGACGGATCAGAAGGATCTTTTTTCTTGTACTAAAATTCTGAGATATGTACCTCTGATTCGGATCCTTTTGGCTAGAATCTCCTGCATCTGTGACGTAGTTTAAACTTGCTGCCAAGTACTGCTGTTCTGGGAGATTGAAAACTCTGCATTCCATATACAGTATAAATCCCCTTAGCCGAGGTATACGCCTCAAAATATGCAAGTGAACAAAGTCTGTTTAAGGTATTTGATGCACGCTTTTAGATGGTTTCTAATAAATCAAAACTCAACAAGGAAAGAAAACGAAGCCACAATAAGACTGGGACACTTTTTTTGACATTCTTCAATCAAAGCCGTTTATGCAGCAATCTAACTCAAAAAGTATAGCAAGACAGTGGACAGACCTGGTACAGTGGGCACAATAACCCCAGCTCTGGATAAGGCTCACTCCCCAGCCACCACATCCGCTGCATCTTGGCAGCTGAGAGTGCGGATGCTCCCTCTTCCCATTAGCGGTATTTTGGGTGACACTGTTGATAGAATTTGTGGAAGCGGGCTTCTTTAAAGAACCTGGAGGCTCCCATTGCGATACATGTGTCTTAGTATTGTAGTAATATTTATGACCTGTGCATAAGGGATCAAACGTGCAGAGTTCAGGATTACAACGAGAACATATCCAAAATTAAGCAAGCATTGCAATTGCATGTATAATCAGAAGACACTGGTCAATTGAGGATTTCCCCTTTCCACCACAGCCAGAAAAATTGAAACTTATCCATTGATATGCATATGGAACAAAGAGGTGAGGACTAAACAAGTAAACAATTGAATCACATACCAGATGTTTCATCAAGTGTTTCCACCCACTCCTCTTGAGGAGGTAAAGGTGGCGGCCTTGAAAAGTTGGAAGATATGTCAAGAGGCTTTTCCCACTGGCATGTTCCGGTATGCTGGTTATAGTAATATGTAGCACCAGTAGCAGGATCTTTTGCATCAACCTGAATGAAACAGTCAAGTTTAAAAGTATTAACAACTAATAAACACAACATCAGAACCATAACTGGCCATCATTTAGGTGTAAGATCTAAAGACTAATTGTGTATGACAACAATATCACAGGAACTTGATATGAAAATCTCAAATGATCAATGCAGTTTCACAGCAGAAAATAATTGACAAAACCAAAGAGGAAAGGACGTTAAGTGTATCTCATTCATACCCATCCTAATGGTAAGGTGCTTGTATTTGTCTGAAAAGGTACACTTGTCTGTCTATTCCAACTAACCGCTGATGCCTGGCAACATCACAAGCAAGCAAGTCAAAATGTTAACAACAATAATAACATGAACTGAAAAAGGGGTTTAAAAACATGGTCAAGGCTATAGCAGACATATATCACCAAAGATTACAGAGTGAGAGATGGATAATTACTTCTTGCGTGTTGGATGTTGCAGCAGCCACTGTACCATCTCCGAGAATTCCCCTGGCTTTTAGTTTTAGTTTGAGATATTCAGGCAAATTGTTTGAAGCGTCGGTAGGTTCAGGCTTCGAGTGGCCAGCGTAAGCAACTCCACCAGGTATACCATAACCATTTCCAACATCCACATGACCTGATGTGGAAAAACAAAAGTCAGTAACTGGATCGGTTTAGCGAATTTTTCCAAAATGCTTGAGCTCATGAGCTATATGATAACTAACCTTCTCCACAGGTACTCACACTTCCACGCTTTGATGCTGTTTCTGCCCGGTGATGTGCAGTGAACTTTAGCAAATGTTCCTGTGAAACGAATATACGTTGACAAATTCATGTTCTGTGTGTAAAATAAACACTAGTTACAGACTAGCAGCTTGAAGATAAAAGGAACACTGAAATAAAAAACCTTTAGAGCATTGGGGTCAGCACGATGCTGAAGAATGTCAGTGTTATTATCTCCAGCTACTGAAGTCCCAGCCTCTCTGAAATAGTTAAACACAAAACAGTTTAGACAAAATCACATAAGAGCAGGAACATGTTCAAAACAAAAAAAGATGGATACAAAAGACAAACCAAGAGAAAGACAGAACCTTTGACCTTGTATGATCTTCTGCGTTTCAATTTCCTGAAAAATTTTACAACACCAAATCAACAAATGGTAAAAACGTTAAAATAAAGAGTAGTGAAATTTATTTTCGGGAAACGAAAAAGTCACGAACTTGTTCGCGAAGAAGAGCATTCCGTGCAGCAGATTCAACGTCTTCGGATTGATTGTAGGCAAACGAGCTTTCATAGCCATAACTAGTTGACTGGTTATGAACAGAAGAAGAAGAAGAAGACGAGGGTTTGGGTGTAGCATCCTCGCCGGAATGAGCAACTGGAATCAGAAGCTCCCGATCTCTGTTAGCCATCACAGTCCCAGGTTTCGCATCGCCCATAAGGCATAAACAGTAACGAAGAGGAAGGAATTGAGAAACCCAGCAACAGAGACGGTCCGAATATTTTTCTGTTCTTTATCTTTTGTCCAAACTTTAACTACGTTCCAACCAAATGGGCTTATCTGGTTATAGCCCAACTACTTTTTAATCAGGTTCAACTTCAAATTATTTCTAAGTTCTAACTTGTGTGTATTATGAGCTTATGGGCTACATGGCATATAAGCTTAAAAACAGCTGAGCAAGACCAGGAAAATGGCTTATTCTCCCATAAATTTTAGAGCTTCTGATTATTTATGAAGTTTTGATTTATGACAAAACCAACACGAACTATCTAATAATTTGAATTTTTAAAATAAATGTTAAAATATGCTTAATTTCACCAAAATTATAAATGTTGTGAGTTTTCCGTCAATGATTAATGATATGACTAACACGTGGTAAATTATTAGATAGTTTATGTATGTTTTAGCATAAATCAAAATTTTATGTATGAATATCAAGAGCTCTAAAATTCATGGGAGAATATGCCATTTTCCTGAGCAAGATTCTGTAATTTTTCATGCTTAGGTAATTTAAATAGAATAATGTTAACAAAAAAAAATAAAAAAAAATGGAGAAGGGAGAAAGGAGTAGATCAACAATGGAAGAAAAGGTCAAAGATTCAACGAGGAAATAACTCATATAAAATATATCAACCGCAAAAGGGGTGCAAAAGTGTCTTGTATCTAAATTGTCTTTAGTAAACAAATATATATATATATATATATATATATATATACGATACAAATTGGCTTGTATCTTGAGAAGCCGAAGCCAAAAGCTTTCTCCGTAAAAGTGGAAATGGTAAATTTTGCTAAGAAAAAAGTGAGAAACTCAAACTTCTAAGATTTCAGGTGCACCTTTAAACCATATGCATGCATCTTATTTTGTCATGTTATTATGTCCATGTTAAGTCCCATATTTAAACATATCAAATTTCCACTATTTTCGAAGTCAAGAACAACAAAGACAGCATTTTCAAGATTATAGAGCAACAAACATTTACAAGTGAGATATAGTTATCTTCTTTTTAAGAGTTTAAAACCCCTTAAGCTAAAGACTTCTCTATCCGAGGAAGAAAGCCGGAAGGAAGGGGGTGTGGTGTGAATAATTTCATTTGCTACTCTTCTTTCATTCCTTTTTCCCTAGCTATACACTTTTATGTCCTCTGTAAAAGTATCACACATGTATTTTTCTTTTTCTTGATCAATGTCTATCTTTGGGGCTTCTAAAACCGTTCAAATTCTCTAACTTCTCCAAGTATGAGAGCTTTTTCGGCGTAAGGTTTGGGGATTTGGTAGGTTTATCGCCACCTTTGTCGTTACTCCAACCCATGAAATCCAACAAGGTCTTGGAGTAGTGTGGGTCAAGCTTCTCGGTTTCTTCTCCGGAGTTAGAAGATCCAGCTGACTCTGAATCCGTCTCCGTTGTTCTCCCACCTTCTGAGGTTTCTTCAGCCAGTGAAGTCTGCTTTTGTGCCAAAGAATCAGTGTATAGAACATCTTCTATCCTTGACATCACTGTGTAAGCCAAGCTCTCAAGTATCCTTGAGTAACTCTCCAACACCGCTTGACCAATGTCCTGTATCCATTCAACAATAAATAGTTAAGATTATATTGTTTTCTTATAACTAGAAAATCCTGAGTTGTTTCTTGCCATTTAAGGCATCTATAGTAGACGAGGGCACAATCTCATAACCAAGAATTTATTTTATCATTGTGATTAATTGATGATGAACTATAATTATGAATACATTGCTTTGGCATTTACCTTGTTAAACTGAATCTTGGAGATGTCAAGGGAAGATTGAGGAAGACCGGGAAATTTCTGTTTGAGCAAGACTAAGATCGTCTCTGCTCTCTCTTCGAACAATTCTCTCTTCTCCAAGCTAACTGCTGATCCCCAAGAAGATTTGTTGTCCTTTAAGTGAAGCTTCCTCCTCCAAATCACAACAGAAGCCTCAATCCTGTTCTTCAAATCCAACACTTTGTGCTCTGTAGACAAGTCCAACATCGACAGGAACTGCTCTGGATCAAACCACTCCTCTGTTATGCTCTTGTAGATCGAATCCCCAAGGCTGGCTCTTCCGTTCTATCAACATAAATCAAACCTTTTAAAGTAATACATAACAACAAAGAGAGAAGTTCAACATAATTGTGAATGATTTTGATTTTTTACCTTTGGGAGAGAGTCGATGTAGCTCTCGGGTATTGCCATTTCAGAGAGGACTTGAGCATTGATGGCCATTGCAGCTTTTTGAACCTGTGTGACTGAATCTTTCTGGAAGTAAAGCATTCTCCGAGCCGGTTCAGATAAACCGCCGGGAGGAACTTTCACCGGAGGGAGCCACCATTTGTCATTTGTCCTAGCATTCCTCGCTTGCTTCCCTTCTTCTGAATCTCTTGACACATACCAAAACTCGGTGTGTCCTCTGAAATTATCCAATGTGTCCTGAACATGTTTTCATCACCATTAATCCATCAAACTCTTACACTAATTATATTTTATTTTCTTATAAATACACAAATGAAACACTTACGATGAGCATGGCGTCAAGTTTTCGAAGGGCTGGAATGTTCATGAGAAGATCACCTCTTTGTCTTGTCACCATAATCTACGTTAAAATCATTAAACATTATATAAATCTGTCTAAGGAGGTAGAAAACGATATTTTTGTTTTTTCTTAGGGAAATTTCAAACCTCGGTGCAAACTCCATCTTTGCTCGTTTGTTGTGAAGGAACAAACTCGACGATGTGATCGGTCACAGACAATAACCAATCGATCTCTTTCTTCCACCTTGCTTGTCTATCTTGCGGCATCGGTTGGAGTTTTGTTTGTTCCCCGAATATTGAGGCTGAAAATGAATCGTACCATCAAATGATCAGAATATTCACAAACCTATTGAGAACCTCTTAATTACTTGCAAAGGAAGAAACAAGGAATATTGAAAGATTACCAGCAAGATTTGTGATGGCATTAGAAAGAGCCAGAGCAGAAGACACGCCTTTTCCGCCACCGGACATATCTTCTCCCAGAAGTAATTTCGCGAATCTGTCCTTCATCATCTCCGTATCTGCGAAACCGGACATTATTAGGGTTTCATTGTAAGAAACAAAGGAACACATTAACTTGTCTTCGTAGATTAACCCTAACCAAGAAAACAAGTTCTTGGAGAAAGAAATATGTCACCTGCTTGTTGTCTCTCGGTTCGATTTCCCGGCCGACCCAACCGAGTAAGAGGGGAAATCATGGGAGGGATGGTCTCAACGGGACTTTCTGCGAAGCTATCGGAGTTTTGGCTTTCAGGCGTGTTGGATTCAACAAGATGAGAATCTCCGTTCTCTACCACAAGTGTTTGATGAGATGGTTGTTGTTTTGTCGAAGATGAATCAAACATTCTTTTGAAATTGAATGATTTTGAAGCGCTTAGTCCTCGTTCCAACGCTGCAACCATGGTACGACAACGTTCGCTTGTTTTCTTGCCCCGCAAGTTAAACCCCTTTTTACCTTTAAAATCCAGCTGATCTAAAAAGATGATACAAATTTTTATAAAAGTATTGTAAGATTTTTGTTAAAAAAACATTACAAACAACAACAAAAAACTCTCTTTCCGTCTTAAAATGAAACAAAATTCTTGAGAACAAACGTTTCTCTTGGATTTAAGGATTGAAAGCATTTCAAATAAGAAAATAGTAAATCAAAATTTAGGAAAGTTTAGCTTTTTTTAGGATTTGTTTTCTTCTCTTTTGTGATTGAAATAAATTGATGGTTTGTGGTAAAAGTGAGGTTCCACGAAGCACGGAAAAAACAATAAAACTTCACAACTGATTTAACTTTCTCATTGGAGACCTACCACTCATCAAATAGAGTATTTAGTTATCCTCTAATTTTATTTTATTCCTTAATCTCTATATTAATCTCAACTGAAATATTGATTGAAAATAGCTTCTCCCAAATACAAGGTGATGAGGAAGCAAGAGAAGACATTAAAATCAAACGACTTACAAAAACGAGCAAACGAAAGAAAAACCGTGATTACTGGATTTGAGCAAAACTTGGGACATAGTTGAAAATGCATGCAATGTCGCCTTTCTTTGTATTTGACCAGCATGATCTGTATGTATCTCCAAAAGGGATTTCTTTGTATTTGTCCTCTTCAATAATGCATAATACGTTTCTGATAATGGTCTTCTTAACATCTACGTATCTTTCATCACAGCACACGGCCATTTTTTTCTCCTCGTCGATGAAGAAACTTAGGCGGCTACTTGAGAACGGACATCGATGTACTGTATGAATGGTTATATCCACTGCTAAAAGTTTTCTCCAGGACAAGACTTCGTTCTGATCAATCTTATCGTTGGTCGTCACCCAAATCTTCACCTCTAGTGTACCACGAGTCTGATGTAACACCGAGATTTGTTCGTCCCTAACAGATGACATAGTTAAAGTGTCATTATAAGCACTCGCAAACGGGAGAGACAGGCGAGTAAATTGCTCTGTTGTAAAATCAAAACGGAGTAAGAAATTAGAGCCGTTATAAAAAAGCGAGTAATTGTTTCCCTTCAAAGACACACCATTTGTTTTTATTATAAAGCAGTCGTGAGCAACCATATTAAGAACCCTCTATGTATTAGAGCTAAAGTCATAGATTTCAAACCGAACATCTGGTTGGAAGTTATTAGCCCAACACAGTTTATGATTTTCCTCCCAACACCTCAAGATTTTGTAGCTATGGCAAGAATTTTTATTCTCGTATCCAAGAGCAACCCTAGAGAGTGTCTTCTTGTTACAAGCACTTGGTTGGATCCACCTGGTTTGACCATTACAAGGGTTCCAAACAAAGAGCCTGTCGTATTCGGCTGTGCATAACAACAAACCATCGCATGAAAAGACTTCAAAAATTCTAACTTTTTCTGAATTACGATGGAGATCGTTTAGGATAAGTCCACCTTTAAACTCCTTAGTTGAATCAACAATGTTGCTGTGAATTCCATCGAGATTTACAGTGAAGACCTTATAATCTTTCAACATTAGAACCAAATATTGATTTGCTGTTTTGTTCAACTGCTTCTTGATGAATTTGATATCTTTAAATAACGCTCCCCATCGTTTGCAAGTGTATGGTAGTTGTCCCATTAATGTAACTGGAACCCTAGAGAGTATCTCCTCTTCCAAATCATTTGAAAGATCGAGCAGTTTCGTCATCTTGCTAGAGAAGAAGAGAGCGAGCGAGAGGTGGCTGGACTGGATTATAAGAAATTAATGTTTTTGACCTTCACGTTTTCCCTGACCAGTCTTCTTATATAGATACACAAACAAGAAACGGCTTCCTCTTCAACTACGCTTTCAAATTTCCTTTTTACTAAATTTGCATTAGAAAAGTAGAAGTATATCTTCGTAATATGTATGAAAATAGGAATTGATATTATTTTTTATAGTAAAAAGGAAAAAATCATATCAAAAAAGGGAAGAGGAACAAAGTAAAAAAGGATCATGTCCCATCATTATGGAGATTTCGTTGGGGTTATTGGTTTATGTATTTTAATAAATTTAAAATCCAAACCAAATCCAATATTATTGGTTATATGATTTTAAAATTCATTTTTAAATCCAGTGTTATTGATTCTATGATTTTAAATTTATTTTTAAATTACGTGTTATTTAATCTTACAGATTTATTTATGAATTTAATTTTAGAGAAGATTTTAGTGGATTTTCATGTTAAAATTACAAAAAGTAATTCGGGGTAAAATTTTCGGATTTGCTCGAATTTAAAAAATCAAAGATTATTTCTAAATTTTATATGAATTTTTAAATTAATTATATAAACGAATAACGCTCTACATGTTTTCTTTTATGAATTCCAGATGATACTATATGGTGAAGTACAAATTATATACATATAATTCCAGTTTAGTTACATTGGTAATAGTTTCTTCACTAAATCTATTTGTTGATCAAACTGGCTACAAATCTTTCTGAAGTGATCGAATTTTGATAGTAAATTTAGGTATAGAGTGATTGTTTCTATCGATTCATCCACTTTTTTGAGTTTTCATACATCCTGTCTTATGAAGTTTGTCAGAAATTTTTGACCAATAAATTTGGTCAAAGTTTTTTAATCATATTGCTTTGTCAAAAAATTTTGGGCAAAAATTTGACAATTTTAGATGAAATTGTATTTCTGACCACGATTACTGACTACCGTGTTTTGGTTAATCTGAATCTGAATTAGGTTATATCATTAACCTATATATATACCACATACATTGACAACAACCTCCTATATTTTTCCTGAGTACTAACGCATTAGGTTTAACTCTTGTTTTTGTTTTTTTATCCTCTCCCTTTTTTACACATCCGATATGGAACTAATATGTTTCGTGATTAACTGATGATAACTGATATTTTCTGTTTGTGTTAATCTTTGATCGTGTTTAACTGATACTCTGTTTTTTTAGATTGTGATAGTTTTTTGGTTGTTAGTTTGTGATCTTACTTCCTTTCGTTGTTTTTTTTTTTTTTGCTGTATAGGTTCTGGTGTTTTGCACTTGGATTGTAATTGCTATGGGGTCTCTTCCCCAAGGCCAGAGTGCTTCCTTGTACGGAGTTTCTAACAAGTTGATTGATGGAAAATATCTGGTTGCACTGTCTGAGAGCAAAAATAGTGAATCTCACAGGTCAAACCGAGAATCAGAGAGAGACAATCTGAAACTCTACGTACAATGGTAGTAAGCCTTTTCTCATTTTTTTTATCATATATCCTTCTATCTCTCATGTTTAAAAAGAATAATGTGTCAAACAGGTGCCTCTGCGTACTGGTCTTGGGATAAGACTAATTAAGGCACTAATGAATCTGTTATATGTATCAAACTGGGGTGCCTCTTTAATTTGTGTATTTAATTGATTTCTATTAATTGTGTTTTTAACATCATTCATCTTGTATTTTATATTCTATCCTGATGACAAAGATGTGGGAAGGGAGACATTACGACAATTGCAAGCTGAAGAGGACGAAGAAGAGAGGTTTCAAGCTGACCTTAAAAAGACAGTGCATCAAAGCTTTGGTTGTTTTTCAACTATCTCTGTTTATATCTCTCAGACAAGTTTTGGGATGTGCTCATTTCATGATTATTGTTTGACTGACTGTCATTTATGTGAAGTATTACTTCTCTCCATCTCAGGACTCAATCTTTTTTCTGATTAGAATATCTATTTAATATATGTCTTGAAACTATTTTGTTCTCATATTTTACTTATGCCAACAGCTGCTATCTTTAGCGCATGTGTGTTACTCTTGAATGAATCTTATGGAGAATAAGTTTTTCACAAATGGTTAGAGAAATGCTCATTTCTGATTACTTCCACCTTCAAATTCAAGGTCATGTATTCTTTTTTTTATTCAAAACCTCTAGTGAGGAAAAGACCGCTAGGAAACCAAAAAGGGTGTATTGTAAATTGATGTACGTTCCTAAAAATTACGCCTTCATCTACCAATTAAACAAGAGACTGTGATAGATGAACTTGCTTGCTACTCTCTTTACCGGTCTTAATGAAAGTAAACTAAGTTTGTTTGGATGGTTGAATATTTTATTTTGTTTTATATTATTTGTTACATAAGGGCCGGATTTGGGTTAAATCCATTGAAAAATTTGTCTTGGCCCCCAAAATTTTTTAGTCTAATTTAGTTTATAAATTTTTTTTTTTGATTTTTTTTTATAAAACAAAATTAGTGGCTCCTATTTCTTATTTTTGTTCAAGCCTCCAAAATCTCAAATCCGGCCCCTTAAAAGGAAAATTATTTTGTTTCATGGAGTTTTTTACCAACATTGCAAAAGTTAATACTTATTATACAATCTAATATACATTTATTAGAATAAGATGAAGACAAATAAGAAAACGAAGATAAACCAGAAGACTTCTTTACAAGCTAATGTTTATTTATACAATATAATGTGAAAATAAAAGAATAAGAAGACAAAGATAAGCGAAAGAAAAACTGGAAGAGTAATAATTCTAAAAGATGGATACAATGACTAATGAGAGGGAAGAAAACTGGAAGAAAATTAAAAAAGAAGTTGGAGGAGACGAAGACGATGAAGAAGTAGAAGAAAAAACGGAAGAAAGAAAAAAATTAAAAAAAAAAGAAGTAGAAGAATAGGAGGAAAAAATTCAAAAC